TAACTTAATAACTACTAAGCTAGGTTACTATAAGACCTCTTATTATTTAATTTTAAAATTAAATATTACTTAAGTAAAAATAATATAGTAAATAGGCTTTTATAAAGGCTAGACTACTAGCTTAGTAAAAAAAAAAAAAAAAGTATAAAGTATATTTTTAAAGGACTTCTTTAGTAGGTTTAAAAAGAAAGTAGTAGTAATTAGGTATAGTAGACTACTAGGTTAAGATATAGTAGCCCTAGAGGAACTTACTACTACCCTAGAAAAAGAAGTTACTATAGTATAACTAGAGGACAAGTAGATTTAGTCTAAAGAGTAGTAATAACTAAGGAGTTACTAGGCTAAAAAAAAGAATAAGTTACTTTAATACTAAGGTAAGCTTATAGTACTAGAGGAATATATAATAAAAATAAGGCTACTTATAGTGTTTTATAATAAACTATTAGAGAGGCACCTAGAGGTAACCTAAATAATAAAATATATAAGATAAATATTCTTCTAGAAATTAATAAAAAAAATATTAAAGAGTATATTAATATATATACTACCTACTAATATATAAAGCTAAAGCACTATTTACTTTATAAAAAACTAGCTTCTTTTTTACTACTTAACTAACTATAGAAGTAAGTTACTATAGACTTTATTACTAAGCTACTAAAATTAAAAAGATTTAATAGTAAAGTATATAATAGTATCTTAGTTATAGTTAATAAGCTTATAAAGTATACTATCTATTTACTTACTAAAGAAACCTTAATAGTAGATTAGCTAATAACCCTTTTAGTAAATAAAGTATTCTTTTATTTTAGACTCTTAACCTTAATAGTATTAAATTATAGGTTTTTATTTATAAGTTACTTTTAGGTAGTAGTATATTACTAGCTAACTATTAAATAAAAGCTTAGTATAGCCTATTACTCTTAAACTAATAAATAAATAAAAAGTAAAACTAGAATATTAAATACTACCTTTAAGCTTTTTATAATATTAAGTAAAATAACTAAGTAAAATAGTTACTTATAGCTAAATTTATTTATAATAGTTTATAGTATAGTATAACTAAGGTTATACTAGTAAAGGCACTAATAGGCTATATACTATAGAGTATATATAATATACGCCTAGTAAAGGTAAAACTAACAGAGGTCCCTAAGGCCTATAAGAGAGTAAAGTAACTATAAAGCTAGAGAACTATAATTAGTAAAATATTAAGGGTAGTTAATTAGGCCTACAAGAAGTAGTATAACACTAAGAGGTCTAATATAGATTTTAAGGTTAAAGAGAAAGTCCTTCTGTTAGCTAAGTTTATTAAGTAAAAGAGACTATCTAAAAAGCTATTAAATAAGTACTTTAGCCCTTTTATAGTAAAGTAAGTAGTTAACAGGGGCAAGGCCTATAAGATAGACATAAGTACTAGATATAAGATCTATAATATCTTCTCTTTATCTTAGCTAAAGAAGTTTTAGGGATTACTAGTAAAGCCTTAACTAATACTAATTAAAGAAGAAAAAAAAAATATATATAAAGTAGATTAAATTATAGCCTATAAAAGGCTATAGTAAAATTAGTAGTACTTTATTAAGTAAAAAAGTATAGTAAGAAAAAAAACTCTTAGGAACCCTAGAGGAATATTATAAAAAATTATAATATAATTATAAGTAAAAGGTTACTAAAGAAAGACAAAAGTATAGTTAAGCTAGGTAAAGATTAGCCTAAGGATAACTAGATTAAAGATTTAATTATTATAGTATAAAGGCTAAAAAATATAAGTAGCCTAAAGGCTAAGTATCTAAAAGCTATAATAAGTAAAAAAAAATAAATAAAAAAAAAGGCCTAAGGGGCACTAAAGGTAATAGTAGTAAAGCCTACTTACTATTTACTTATTATCTTCTAAATTACTATTACTAATATTTTTATTATTATTATTATTATTATTATAAGTAAAAAATATAAAGGATATAAAAGTACTACCTTTATTTTTATTAGCCTTAGATTTAAGCTTACTAATATACTAAGAAAAGTTAATAACTAGTATAAAAGGTACTAAAGAGGCACTAGGTAAATATTAAGAGAAAAACACTTATAACTTAGGAGTAGGTCTAGGACTACTTTAAAAAAAGGGTAGTCTAGGCTATAATAGTAGTAGTCTACTCCTAGAAGGTAATAGTCTAGGCCTTAAAGGCTATAGTAGTAACCTTAGTAGTATAAAGTATAGACTTAGCTAGCTTAACCTAGTAGTAAAAAAAGTTAGTAGTAGTCTTAAAGGCTATAATATAGCACTAGTAAAAAAGCTACTCTTTTTCTTTAGCCTTAGCTTTATACTTAGTATTAGAGGCCTTAGCTAAGTTAACTTAGCGCTAAAGTACTTTCTTAGCTATAACCTAGGCCTTATTAATCTTGTCTTAAGCTAACGTTAGTATAAAAGGTTACTAAAAGGACACTAAAGGAAGTAAATATATAGTAATACTATAGTAAATATAAGTAGGCTTAGTAAAATAGTTTATAGCCTTAAAGAGGTAGTATAGCTTAATACTAGCTATAGTAGTAGTATAAGTAGCCTATTTAAAAGGTTAATAGCTACTAAAAGTTATAAGGATAATAAAAGTAAAAGTAAATATACTAAAATATAAAGCTTACTATATATAGTAGTATAATAAGTATACTTATTACTAGTAGCTAAGATATATTAGCTAAAGCACTAAAGAGAAAATATTAGAGAGGCACTAGGTATAAAAAGAGGTATATAGGTAGTCTTTATATAGTAAAGAAAAGTAGTAGTATAAGTACCTAATATACTAGAACACTAGTTAATTATCTAGTAAATATAGTAGTTATAAAGTATATTATAAATAAGCTTATTTTTTTAATATAAGTATAAAGGTAGTAAGAGGTAAGTAAAGTAAAAAAAGGCACTAGAGGGCTAATAAAACTACCTTAGTTAGTAAAACTAGTAGTAGTAAAGCTAATAGTAGTAGTAGTAGTATTATTAATAAAAGTATTAGTAAAAATAAAAAAAATATAGTAGTAGTAAAAAAGCTAGTACTAATACTAGTACTATTATTATTACTATTATTACTAGGTAGTAGTAGTAATAGTAGTAGTAGTAGTAAAATAAAAAAAATAAAAAAATAATAATAAAGTAAAGCTATTAAAAAAAAAAAAAAAAGAAATTAAAAGTAAAAAAATTAAAAAAAAAGTAAAGCTAAAAAAGTTATTTAATTAGGCTAAGTAAAAATAATAAAGTAAGTTATAATAGTATCTTAAGCCTATAAAATAAAAAAAAAACAGTAAAAAAAGAAAAAAAAAATAAGACCTAGGGGGTTACTAGTGTAGTCTACTAAGAGGTAAAATAAAGGCTTTTCTTTATTATAAAAGTAATATAACTTAAGGCTTAGGCTATAAAAAAATAAAAGTAATAAAAAAGATAACTATATAATAAAGGCCTACTAAAAGTATATAGTACTTAAGAGAGTATTATAGTTAAAAGGATAAAAAGGTAATAAAAGTATTATAAGTAAATAAGGTGTCTTTATTATAAAGTAAGTAACCTTTAGTAAAGCTAGTTAAATAATAAAGGCTTATAACCTAGCTAAAAATAACTATAACCTTAGGAAAATAATAGTCTTAGCTTAGTTAAACTATAATAGCTATAAAAGTAAAGTTAAAAATAATTAGCTAGCTAAGAAGATAGCTATTTACCTAGTAACCTACTAAGCCTAGAGGTATTCCTAGATATCTTTAAAATACTAGCTAGTAGTAAAGCCCTAGGGGCCCTACTAAAGCACTACTTAAGGTCCTAAGGACAAGACCTTAAGGGGGGAAGATTATGTTAGGTGCTAGAGGTAGGGGGTACTAGGGGACTACTAGCTATAAGGCTACAACTAGGAAAACTATTATCTAAGGGTTACACAAAAGTAGAGTTTATAGGAACAGGAGAATTAAGAGAAGGTAGATCAGAAAATAGTTATAATTAACCCCTAACTACGCTATTTATAGACTCCTCTACTTGGTACTATAACCCCTCTGACATATATTACTAATGTTGCTTACGCCATGAGCACAGCGACGTTCAGTCGCGTAAGACCAGCAGAGGTGGCGTCGAGTTTAATCGCCAACACCGTGTCTTAAAAGTGGCCTGAGACAGCAGCTCGGCAGGTGTTCTGAGCGTTATGGCCTGTATCAGCGAAGAGGCCATCTGCGTGCCCTGAATGACAGCACCAGTAGGACATATCCCTCGACACATGGTGTTCTGGGGATGTATGACTTGGAATAAGTTATCGCGGATCATTTGAAGCTTATTGGGATTGATGAATTGATGGGGATATTCTTCCGGCGCATTCCTTAGGTCCTGGAAGCAAAGGCCTGTCAGGGGTCGTTCAAAATGTCGACATGGAATTCATCTTTTGTTCTGGAAGCCAAAACCTTGGGTCCAGAGCTTGGGCCCGGAGAACTTGGTAAAATGTTCAAGACTGACGCGTTACATTTAGAAGGCAATGAAGTAGGCAAGAACCTACTACAAGAGGAGTGCTGGAAGTAAAGGCCACAAGTTGAGGATTTGGGGCTCTACTATCCTATCAGCCAAGCGCAGAGTTTACTGGGCTTATCGTAAAGCTGTTCCGACGGAGAAAAGTGCCATACATCAATGACTTCAATAATGCCGAGTCAATAGTACTTGCGAATATTCAAGAACAGGGCCTTAGTGTTGGAGATCACGATATCGCTTGATGGTTGCAGTCACGTTATCGAGAAGCCAATTGGGGGCGTGCTGGGGCATATTATAACCCCAGCAGAGTCACGATATGTTTGGAACGAGAATTAGCATCGTTTTGAACGCAGAAAGTGTATCATAGAGCCATAACCGCCTAAATCCCAAGCTTATTGATTACAATTTTCTGCTTTGTCGTGCAGTTTTGGAGGCATGAAGCAGCATAACGTGATGGCTGATGGTTGCGGACGTAATCATCGGAGCCACGGCGGTCACTTATGCTCGTGCTTACCGAGCACACGATGTGTTGCCCATACAATGGCAACCCTTCTTACCTTAGCAATCGCCGCGGATCAAATGTCTACACCATTCTTAATGAGTACAAATACATCAACCAGAATGCTCTACCTACCGTTTTAGCCACAGCCGAGCGTTGCGGTGATCAAACATCGATTGAGACGACCTTTGAAAGTTCGCCATGGCTTCGCCAATACCCAGCGCTATCAAGCAGTGGAATGTTGTTGGCCAAGACGGCTTTCAATCCCTCAGGTTCTCGGAACAGACATTGCCTGAATTTGGCGACAGTCAAGTTCTGGTGAGATGTTAGTCCACCTGCTCATCTATTGGAAATCCCCTCAAGCTAACCTCGATCAGTGCAGGGAGCCACCTTGAATGTGAGTATTTATTAATCCAAAAGGCGCCAGACTAACATCTGTAGTTCCGTGATATTGTCATCCCTAGTGGGAAATACCCTTGGGACGTCAAGTCCAATGTCGTGCCCGGATCCGACGGCGCCGGCACAGTCTTGGCCGTTGGGAAAGATGTTACCCGATTCAAGCCGGGCGACAAGGTCATCACTGTCCTTAGCCCCGAATATCTTGGAGGACCTGTAACCGACGATATTACGAAATGTGGACTTGGCGGCAGCATCGATGGCACTTTCCGCACCGTCGGCGCCTTCAGCGAGCAAGGACTTGTGCCGATGCCTGAAGCATTGACCTTCGTCGAAGCTGCTTCGCTAACTTGCGCCGGTGTAACTGCATGGAACGCTCTTTTTGGATTGGCCGGGAAACGAGTCTCGCCAGGCCAATGGGTTCTTACACAGGGCACCGGCGGGGTCAGCATCTTCGCGATTCAGTTTGCCAAGGCCGCCGGGGCGAGGGTCATCTCCACCACGAGTTCTGTAGAGAAGGCGAAGATCCTCGAGGAGCTTGGCGTCGATCACATCATCAATTACCGCGACACAGTCGACTGGGGACTGGAAGCGAAAAGGCTGACAGGAGGGTCTGGCGTGGATCTTGTCGTTGAGATCGCGGGCGAAACAACATTGAGTCAAAGCCTCGCGAGCGTGAAGCTTGATGGTACTATCGTAACCACTGGCTATGCTGGCGGTGAAGCAAAAGGTCAGAAGGTGCCGACGTTCTTGGACTCCTGGCTGAGCCTTGTCACGGTTCGAGGGGTCTGGGCTGGTAGTCGCATGCAAATGGAGGAAATGTGTAAGGCTACTGATGATCGTCCGGACAAGCTCCGTCCCATCATTGACTCCAAGGTGTTCAAGCTAGAGCAGCTCAAGGATGCTTATGAGTACTTGGAGTCAGGAAAGCATCAAGGAAAAGTTGGCATTGAAATTGAGTAATATTCTGTTGTATTTCCCCTCATCACTATCATTCATCCTCTTATCCGGAATGATTCGCACACAAAATCAGAGAACATTGATGAGGGCGAATTGATTCCTGTATCCCAGGGTGAGTTATTCCAATCGCAAGGAATTTCCTTGATTAAACTAATCCTTGACATCATTTATTGTATGGTTCGTTGATAGCTTCTGGAATATCTGTGCTGTGCAGTTCCGAAGACTTCTGTCAGCAATGAACATGTCTAGGAACTAGCACATGGCAACTAGCACCATAACTGTAGGTAATATGCCCAAGCCTTTATGATAGACCTTATTATTGCTGCAATATGAAAGCCTATCAAACCGGCTGACTTATAGGCCTAGATACATGTATGCTAACGCATGTATAATATCTTCCTATCCTACATAACGATATCATGCTGGTTGGAAGATTTATTTCAGGAATATGAGCTGAACGAATCATCATTCTGGGAGAAACACCTTATATAGATCGTAAATCTATGACTCCCTTCAAGACGCATGTGTATCTGTAGCAGTTCTAGGCTCATATACTTAGACTTTACTGAGATTCGGAAGACACAGCACATGAGCATCAGAATTCCGTACCGATTTTCCGGGTCAGAAATACTATCGGATGTCCAGTCAAGGTTAACTCAGTACATCATACTCAGGCGAACGAATCAAGACGAACAAATGCATATAAGGCACGGTCTAGCTCTTGAATGCTTGTAAGACATTTTGTCATAATGGGGCGCATACAATATAAGGCGTTAATTACTACCCGTAATTAATAGCGTTGTTTTTACAACACTTATAAGCCTAGTTGTCTACAACTATTATGTCTTAGTAATATAACTGTAGCTTTAGCGTCAAAGCGTTACAGACCCTATCCCATCGGGCGCGAACGGACCTCACTAACCTATTGTGGATCCCCCTCCACTTTTACCCCTCACTTTCGGAGATACATGACAATACCTTGTTTTAGAATGCTATTTTATTAGCAACCACCACTAATTTCAACATTATTACCAACATCCTCATTAAAATCCACGATGTCTAACTCTAATACCTTTATTTACAGCACTATCCACGTGGAGGTGCTGCCAGAGGACCTTGCCGTTGCCTGCCTAGATAACTGCTGCCTGGAGCAGTGTGATAACGCAATAATCCGGCCTAACGAGCCTCTAGTAGACCTGGGCCCTCTGGGCTCCTTTATCCCTTTTGAAGTGCTAGACTGGCAGCCTAAGGTCTATAGGCTTTCTGGCTTTAATACACCTATTAACCTCTTCCTCTATTATATACCCTTATAGTTAATCTAATAGTAGGTTAATTAGATAAATACTACACTATTATCTAAGGCTGGCCCCTATTAACAAAGGTTACATGTGTATTAATAGAGAGATACTTCTACTAATAAGATTTATCTCTTCTTTAGTGTTTTAATTTATATAAGTATATACCTTGAATCTTAAATCTTAAGATACTAGTTAACTTAATAGTATAGTAAAGACCTATTATACCTATTTATATGCTTTATAACCTAGGACTACTTTTAGTAACTTTATGCTTAGCTTTAGATATTTAACCTTTTTAAGTTTATAACTTAGAGCTAGTAAAAGAAGGGTAAAATACTAGATGTATATTAGAAAGTTAACTAATAGTTAGTCTATATCTAGGTAGCTAGAGACCCCCTCTATATAGCTAGCTTTAATCTTATTGTTAACAAGGTAATGGTCTGGTTTATAGGCTAGAGCTAAGAAATAATAACTATCTTAATGAAGCTAATCCTAACTGGCTTTAAGGTATAGGTCCTTGCTTAATCTAGGTACTCCCTCTGGTGGCTTTGGTATATACATAGAGAAGGCCTATATAGGCTTCTTCCTGAAGCTCTACACCTGGCTGGCTAACTAGTAGACTAGGTAGCCTGGCTTACGCTAACGCAGCAGGTAGTTATAGCCTTTCTTGCCCTACTACTAGCAGTAATATATTATATATTTCTAGATAACCTCTTTGCCTTAGTTTAGCTCTTCTAGGCCCTCTAGAGCTAGTAAGTTAGAGCCTTTAGTATATACTAAAAAAACAGTAGTATTAATACTATACTTATTACTAAGAAAAGTACAGAAGGCCAAGGGATCCTATAAGGCTAAATATACTTTATTTTTACTGCTAATAGGCTAGTATATATCTTTAAACTAGATTAATATATAAATACTTATACTAACTAGTTTACTTTCTTATAGGTTAACTAAATTACCTAGAAGGATAATACCTTTGTGCTTTTCCTTTTAATAGTATATAAAGGCAGCTAAGTAGACTATGTAATCTAGTAGTGCTACTAGCTAGCTAGTAAGACAGCAGCTAAGTGGACTACCTAAGAGGTCTTTAGCCTAGATGCCTAGAAGGACCTTCTAGTCCCTTAGCTAATAGACAACTATAACTATAATATAAATAAGGTAAATATAAGTGACTAAATAAGGGTATTGTACTCCTTTAATTACTATATATATTAAGGATCCTAGTAAGCTATTACCTAGACCTTTCTACTTAAAGTTATTATTATTAATACCTTTTATCTCTAGCTAAGAGGAGACCTAAAGTAGCTAAAAGTTATAAACTAATATTAATAGTAGTAACTGCTTTTCTACTAGCTTATTTAATAGTTTAGAGTATTAGTAAAAGGTTACTAGGTTTTATACCCTTAGTAATAGTCCTATAAACAGAAGACTAATCTTCTATTATTAGACCACTAGCAAGGGTCACAAGGAAAGGCTTTACCTTGCTCCTAGTGTAGTACATAGCAACAGGCTAGTAATAACTAGCAATAAAAAACCTAGCAAGGTTGCTTAGATTATAATATACCCTTATGTAAAGGTAGAGATTGTTGGTACCTTTGGTATAGGCAAAACGCTATATAAATAGAAGTACTCTAAAACTATTGGCTTTTGGCGTTAATTGCTGTGGCCTGATTTGCTTCTACCCCTCACCGGGGTTAGTAAGGTCCGTTCGCGCCCGATGGGATAGGTTTAAATCCTACGTAGGCTATAGACAGGTTATAAGAAACCCCTACTAGATAAGTTAGATAGTAACTATAGAAGGGTTGTAATAAGTATTTACCCTAGGGAGTATGACCTAGGGGGCCTAAGGGCTTCCCTGTTAACCTAGTAATCATGTAGGCAGTCAGACTACACAGATAGGATCTCTGTAATCTAGGGGGGGGTTGCTGTTGTAGGGTGTATATAATATAAGGCGTTAATTACTGCCCGGAATTAACGGTGTTGTTTATGTGACACACTTCAAAAGAGGTTCCAAAAATAAAGTACATTGAGTATTATGCAGTATTTAATTAATAACCTACGCTGTATAAGCTTCTTTCGCATCGAAATAAACATTTGCGGAACCTGTACCCATGGCTTGATGTCATGCCTGGCAGAGGTCACGGGTTAGAGCTGGTGGGCCCCTATTAGTCAGCCTATAAGGGATAAAACCCTTCCAGCTGGCAATAGTTAAGGGGCTAGATTTGAATGCTGTTACAACACCATACCTACCCTCCGTTAAGTGGCCCTATCGTTGACTTCATCACTCGGACCAGCTGACCTCTGACACTTGAACTGAAAACTCGATTTTGGCCACCATGGCCTTGCTTGCCTGTATCGATCCTGGCAAATTTGTCTCGCAATTCTGAGCATCTTTACCTACCTGGTGTTTTGCACGCCTAAGAATCCGTCCACTTTGGCGTCGTTATGCCCATTACGCTGCGGTGTTCGGTTCGCAATTTTGATTCAAAGTCACAACTAGTTCCAATGTTCGTATCCATCTTCGAAGCAACGTAGCATGACCTCCGCGGTTATTCCCTAGGATGAAACGCTTTGCAGGCAGCGAGATTGGACTCCGCCAGCTGAGATGCTTCCTTGCGCTTCGAACATGATTCAGAACCTTCCTGTGACGAGTGCACGGTATGCGCAGAGATGGTGTCATCTACTTGTCCGCTGAAGATTTGGTGGCTGGCCTGATAATTAGCTAATATACTACCGGTAGATCATCCAAGTTTTGATGCAAATAAAGCGTGGTGACAAGAGTCTCAGAAAGAAGACCATGTCCGGACGAAGCTGAGCTGAGCTGATGCGCATGTGCGGCGTGGAAAGTCAATGGCCTTTCTAGCCAGTCAGCGACAAAGAATTGACGCAGAACGTCCCGAACCCTTCCAAACACGATGCGGGGTCGAAACTCTTGATTACGCCCAATCGGCTATACCATGTAGGCGGCGAGTCCCGCCATTTGAAACAGGACTCATGTTGACTGTGGATTGGTGGAATCATACTCCGTATCCGTGTCTGGTTACTAACTTAATGCGTATGCGCCCCCCCCCCCCCCCCCCCTCACCCCTGAGAAATTGGTCGGTGGGTACAACAGGAGCTAAACTCCTCTAGCAGCGTACCAACAAACAGTTCGACACTTATTAGACAAATACCATCATACAAATAGATCAAGCTCAGTACAAGGCTGTTTTCTCAACCATCAGGTACGTTTCTCCTCCCAGCCAATTACTTATCGTAGCCTGGCCGATATTGAATTCGGATTAAAGTGTGCGGGTGCCCAGCATAAGCAACAAAGCTTTTTTATATAGTTATGACGCCTTGACTAGGTAGGCTGGTAGGGAGTTCTGTCCGTTGATCCCTGAGGGATGCCATCTAGCGAGATGGGCATATCCACCCACTCGAGTTGCTAATGCGACTTGTTCCCAAAGGGCTTTGGTCATTCGTTCGGACGGAAGAGGGTCTCTCTAAAGATCCTCCAATCGTTGAATTGAAACTCTATCTGCGGAGTTGCGGCGCAATTGATCTGGAGGGCATATAATACTTTCGCTGGGCACCTTGCCTAGCGTTTGTCCTTGTCCGTCGCCGGTTCTCAACACGACCCGATACAGGGTTTGGTCTATTAACGTCGCCCGCCCTCTTGTTGTGCGTGGCCCTTTGTTCCCCGCGCCATGATGGGCAAGCTTTCTGCCCCTGCTGTTACAGCTGTGCTGTCCGCCATTCTGGTTGCCGCAGCTCCATTCTCCGACGTAAGATCGCTCGTTCAATAGCGCCCAATCGCGTCTGTCCAGAACGGCATTTAGATTGACCCACGTCGTTTTCCAGGCTGGCTGTACTGTTACTGAATATGCCGGAATCGCCAATGCGGTCGCGGCCTGCACCAGAATCACGCTCCTAAACATTGCTGCGCCAGAGAACGGCGCCATCGACCTCCAAAACCTCCAGAAGGGAGCCACTGTCACGTTTGCCGGCACGACCGTACGTCCCTCCGATTCCCTCCCGAACGCGGGTCTCGCGACGGTGTACTGACTTGACTTGTCGCATAGACCTTTGCCACCACAGTTCGCAAGGACTTCGACCCCATCACGATCTCGGGAACTGGCATTACTGTCACCGGCGCCCCGGGGCATGTGATCGAGGGCAATGGCGCAGCCTACTGGGATGGTCTGGGATCCAACGGCGGAGGCGAGAAGTAAGCAAAAACTCTCCATTAGGAACAGAAAAACGAAACAAAAAAGCAAACAAACAAACCGCACTTCATGCGATTGGAGCTGACCTGCAGAACTAGGCCAAACCATTTCGTTGTCGTCAAGAATACTGTCAACGCCAGGGTCACCAACCTGAACATTAAGAACTGGCCCGTTCACTGTTTTTATATGCCCGGGAACCAGGGCCTAGTCGTCTCGGGCATCGTGTTGGACAACTCGGCTGGCGACGCACCCAACGCCAAGAGCGGCGGCCTCGCTGCCGCTCACAACACTGACGGCTTCGGTATCAGCTCCAGCGACAACGTCCTGCTGGAGAACATCAAGGTCCACAATCAGGACGACTGCGTCGCCGTCACCAGCGGGACCGGCATCGCCGTCAACAACATCTACTGCTACGGAGGCCACGGCCTAAGCATCGGTTCCATCGGTGGCAAGAGCAACAACACTGTCGACCGCGTCACTTTCGCCAACTCTTACATCGTCAATAGCTCCAATGGCTGTCGCATCAAGACTAACTCTGGCACCACCGGCGAGGTCAGCAACGTCGTCTACAAGAACATCACCCTTACCGGCATCGACACCTACGGCATTGATATCCAGCAGGACTACCTCAACGGGGGCCCCACCGGCGAGCCCACCAACGGTGTCAAGATCTCCGCCATCAAGTTCATCGACGTGACCGGCACCACCACTGGCGACGCCTATAACTACTACATCCTTTGCGGTGACGGCAGCTGCTCTGACATTACCTTTCGGAACACTCAAGTGACCGGCGGCGGTAAAGGGGGGAGCTGCAACTTCCCTGCCAGTGGGTGCCCGGCATAAGCCCATCTTGATTCCCAATTTCATTCATAGCATATATTACTACAGGCCCGCATAATATAGCACATGAAGAGCCCACCCTTTTGGTCGACAGAAACAAGTGTACATAAACTTAATGCTTAATTGTATATTCTCTCTTGGACGCTATCAGTTTCCCATACATTGCCAGTCTTCTAATTAAAGCTCACCCTATCGCGTGCACGACAACCGCTCATCCGCACCGTCACCCCGGGCCTTTCCGAGGGACTTATGGAACCTTTGGGGAGACTTGATGACGCGCCCCAAGTGTCTGTACGTCATCCTCTCGTCTTTGTACCTCGCTATTTGTACAGCCGCCGTGATGGCGTTGCGGATCTGGTGCCCGTTCATCTCTTCCTCGGCGAGCTCGTGAACATGGCGTTTAATGCTGTCGAGATCGATGCCTTTCGTTTCAACAACCTTACGTTTGTTGTGACCAGCGGCAGGCTGAGCTTTGTTGTTGTTCTGCTTCGGTAGGTCCCGGTGGCTAAGATCAAGAAGATTGACCCATGTTCTGCGGCGTTGCGAGATGTCGAGCGTCTCGTGGTGAAAGCGCAGCTGGATTCACGTGAACGCTTCCTCGAAGTTGCCGACTCGGCTTGTGGTGATATTCACAATGCCCACATGGTTTTTCAGCACACGCAAGAAGGCAGCAGTTCGTTGCTCGAGGAAATCGTCGGCCTCGTCTAGTAAGACCACGCAGCCCCATGTCATCCCTAGGTAGCAAGCCGACTCGAGCTGACGCTGCAGTCGCAGTGGCTTGTTGCTGATTTTGTTGCAGTTGACACGGATTAGTGGCGTCTGTACTTGTTCCGCGATGCTCTCGGCTGTGTAAGTTTCCCGGTCCCAGGACCGCCGTGAAGCAGGATCGTCAGCCTGCTACTTTCGCCTCGAAGGGAACCCGCACTTTGCTTGGATCCGGTGCTATCAGTGACGAGGGCGTAGATGAGCTCTTTTCCTTCCTCGTTCATCACCAAATTTTTGAATGTCTGCTTGTTCCAGGACACGTTTTGCACCAAATCAACCTCAACATCTTCTTTATGGGGAGGTCAGTCTCGTGCTGTCAATTCTGGAAACCAAGTATAGCCACTGGCCCCATTTGTTCCGTTGTAGATTATATCCCATCGTCGCATGGGGACAAACCATGGTTTCTGAGGATTGAGGAGGTATCACTGCTTTATTTATCTTATTTCGAGCAGATGCATGAAACGACTCATGCGTTGCCTTCGACTTGGACGACTGGTAGTATTGCAGCTGTTTTCAGGTACTGAAACCTATCGTGCACCTTTCGTCTTTCTATGATACTGTTAGAATTGCTTCCTCATCTGAATATAGATATGTGCGCTTCACCTTGAAGAAACCGTTTTCTTCTGCATGGTGCGATACAAGGTTCCTGTGACGACATGCCCTCGCCAATTCCCCGCGGCGAGTGAGCTTTGTGCGAACATCAACACTCATAACCCGCAAAGGTAGGTGTGTCAGTTCTGCTATTTTGATGTTTTTTTTTGACCGCTGGTATCGAGGTCCATGTATAGGTTAGAGCTTTGACGGTAGAAATCACCATCGAAGGCATACGGCCATACTTGAAGACACCATCTCTCGAAAATGGTGCATCTCCCTCTTTTCCCACTCGGATTCTCCAGTTTTGTTGAGGCTCCGTGGTCTAATGCGGTATCAGAAACGGCCCTGCAAGTCACGGCTTCTTTGTTGATTGATGTTTGGGCAATGTAGCCCTGCGTGGTGTTACCAACATTGGACACCACAACCTCTACGGGAGAAATAAGAGAGGCATTGTCGAACTCGAAACAAAGCCACCCTTAAACAGTCTCTCAGCTTCGGCGTAAAGCTTTTCGTAGTTCTTCTCAATCGAATTCGTAAGATGGCGCATCTGATTCCTGTGGAGCTCGGACAGCCCATCGAGGCAATTTCTAGACGGAAGCAGTACCAGAACTGGAAGTGAGACTTGATCGGTTCCTTGTACGACCAGTTTGGGAAGTGCATTTCGAAACTTGGCTGGCGGTTGAGGAACGCCTTCAGTGCGCTGATCATTCTCTCCGAAAGCAGATGAATGGTTTCTACGACTGGGACTAGAGCGGGCAACGCGGCATTTTCGTCGTCTTTCATTTGCGTCTTCTTTGCATTGCTTTCCAGCGAATAATATCTGTAGACGACAAAATCCAGTCACGGTCGTTGACGGAGATGTTCGGCTTCATCAGCGATTGGTGAGTTACCCTCGATGCGGAAGCCATCAGGTGCGCTTGTGGTCCATGAGGGTTCCAGAAGGTAAGTTGCTCCCTCCCCTATAATCTTGTAGAGGACATCCTACCTGGTAGACCCTGGAGTCTCCGAAGTGGGATCAATCTCGATAGGTACGTCATGGCTGCCAGTTGCTTCAACAGATATGTTGGAACCCTTTCGGTTGGCCATGGTGCTGATACGATCGCTGCGAGACGATTCTGCTGTCGGAAGACCTCCGGTTGGTGAAATCCCGTCTCCTGTTCTGTTGGGTGGTTTCCATACTATTGGTTCGTTTCTATGCGATGGTTTTGCTATCTGAAGATTTCCCTCCTGTTCTCGTCTCGTCATCATCAATCTCTTTTGAACTTCGGGTTCGATCAATGCCAGTGCCGCTCGAGGTTTCATAACGGCATGGAATTGCATGAGGTCCACGTTGATATCGTTGAGATACGGCAACATGTTAAGTTCTTCTCCCTCGATAAAGCTGGTAAGAGTTTGGTCGCAAGCTGTAGAAAGATCCCGGGGGAAAGCTCAGCTAAGAACACTCGAAAAATATTTCAGTCTTTTGTGTGTCTGTCGCTCTCCGCGTTTGTCTCTGTGTGTTTCCTTTGTCTTGATTCTTGTACCCAGATCCTTTTGCACAAAGCTCAGTCTCAAGTTGCGGTCTGATCTCAAAGTTCTTGTTATGAAGGCGTTCTGTTGTAGACTTGTTCAATCTAAGGCCCTTGCCTGAACGCTCAACCGCGTAGGGACACTTATACCTTCATTAGAAAACATGCAAGTTACGAGCGACGGGAGAGCGGCACGATTGATATAATATACTGCGAGACAGGGGCGTAAGAACTGCAAAAATTGAAAGGGACGAGACTCGAACTCGCGCGGGTTGCCCCACCAGGAAACAGATGTTAAGCTGACCTTAACCTGGCGCCATAACCAACTCGGCCACCCTTCCGTGACGTGATCCTTGGATGAGATCGTCGGGATCAGTTGTGGATGTTGCAGAGCCGCGGTTGAGACCCTCATGTTCTTGGGAGTAGCGTGGCGTGGGCTAGCTTAGGGCTACTGGTCATAGAAATAAAAAGGGACCCACCGGCATCGACAAGTGGGTTTTAAGCAGGCCCGCCGTCTTGGAGACTACAGATGTATGGCGAAACCTTGTTTGGTATCATTCTCGACGAAGCCATCTCTGAGCAGTCAAGATCTATACTATACTTAATTTTGGGGAAACTTTCACGATTGTTTGATGCTTTCGTGCTGACGGAAGAAGCCCGCCATTCCCTTGCCCTTGGGTGCATCTCCTGACTACTTATGTCTCTACTATCAACACAGCCCAACTTGTAGAAATCATGGATGAGACATAAGCCCGGCCACTGAATCTTGAACTACATCTTTGTCTACAGACGGCTCCTTAGCTTTTTGAGAGAATGAAGATCATGAGGAGAGCCTGAAACGTCAAACGGCAAGGCTCGATATGAAAACGTAGAGGTCCATGTTTCATCTCTGAATGAGAATGCAAGTGACGTGCAAACGCATTGCTCATGACATAACTTGAATCCACATCTCATAGCTTGAGGCTGTCAGTCCCGGCATACAACTTCAGATCCAAACGTCTAGCTTGGCAAGTTTCTTTCGCCGAGGACGGAACCCTGAGCCCGAGTGCCTGGCGATGCTGGGAACCCGAACCCGGCTGCTGCCGTTGATGGACGATGCCGTGGATATTAGTCTAAAACGCAACATGGCAAGCACCGACACAGCCACCGCCAGGACCCAGGCGGCAATCGCCCTCAAGGCCAAATGGCAGACCCTCTTCGACGACAAGCCGACCAAAATTTCAGGTGGAATACTTGACGTTTGCGTCAGGCGTCCTCGATGGGCCGGATACCCACGGCCCACGATTTGAGCACCATTATCGCGCGATTTGGTCAAACCTTATCCGAGAAACGACGGTCAACACACTTTGCCCCTCCAGTCACGCGAACTATGGGACTCTCAAAAGGACTTTTGACACCAACAAGAGAGTGGAATACGCCGACGCGTGGGCAGTCGTGCTCCGGGCGCAGGGTAAAACCAATACCCTGTTCAGCAAGCACCCCCAGAAGGCTGTCGTAGACGTATAACCCAACCACTAGGAACCTTTTAAGTTTCGATTCGATCCTTTGTTCGTTTTGTTTCCAACGCCTCCCCCCCGTTTCTCGAAGCAACGTCGAGGATAACGTCGGCGGCTGAGACAGACCGAACGGCCGCCGGTTGCGGCAACAGAGAGCGGCGCTAACAAGGGGGGGAGACAGCGGGTTGAAGGCTTGGCGAAGGAGAGAGCCCCAAACTCTGTTTACAAGGGGACGGGCACCCTCTGATCTTACTACTAGTGCTCAGGACGGAGTAATTTTGTACCTGGAGATCTGGCCGGGGTCCGAAGAGAACGTCATTCCGCTACCGAGATGCAGAGTTGCCAAAAAATAAGAAGAAATACCATCTCCCCCCCCTCTCCCCGCCCCGGCGGAGGAACGAGAAGAAAGAAGATTGACTATTTAGATTTTTCATCAGCCCACCTTACCCAAAGGTCTAGATGCAATGTTGCTCAATGATCACCGCCAGGGGAATGGGGAAGGGGGGAGGGGGGAGGGGGGGTGAGAGAAGAAACCAGGAACGCCGCGCAATCAACAACAAAAGAAATAAAGAGCAGAAAACCCGTCAATAACCTTGCTCTTCTCACAAGCGAGAAAGAGACGGAGAGCCAAGTTTATTGTGCAATCAACCAAGCCGGCTCATTCCCCCACGCCTCTCTCTTCTCTCGTCGTGTTTTGATTCGCTATATCAGCCAGAACCAATCGACCCCCCTCCCTCCAAGGCTATGCCAAGTTTTTACCCTCCCTCCCTTCCGCCTCTCGCCCAGGCTTTGCTGGGCTCGGCTCCCTCTCCCGTTCCCATGGTTAACCATGTGTTGCCGGTTTAGCGCCCAGGCACCGCCGGGGCGTGATTCGCTGCGTGCCTGGGACACTGGCCCGGTGACGTGTCGCTGAAAGAGAGACATTTCCTTACGTAGTGTACATGGCTGATTGCGCGTGTTCTCCCGCCCCCGTCATTCAATCCCACCATTCGCGGCTACCAAAAGAATCACGAGTTCAGTTCAAACCCCTCTAAATTTAGGTTGCCCGCTGCGCCTGGATATGTGGCACCCAGGCCCCCCGGACGAGCCAGGCAATACGAACCAAGGAAGGGGGGGAAGAAGCCGCCTGGCCAGTCCTAGTGCGCCCCACCTCTCGGAGCGGTAGGGGGGAGAAGAAACGATCAACGCCAGCTCATTTCCGGGCTTTCTGGGTGGGAAGAGGCTTGGTTGGGTGTGGTGTGGCGTGACCCCGAGAGTGCGACGCCAAGGCAAGGTTCATGGACGCGGCCCGCGACGGTGCTCACCGACGAGTCAGGCCCCGGAAAGGGAAAACAACACCCTCGGGCCTTCGGGGGAATCAAGATGACGCGCTCGGTGTGAGACCTGCCAAGTCATTCTCACCCGAGGTGAAGAGAGCATCAAAATATCGGAGTTTGAGACATGCAGAGCAGTTTCCAATTTTTTCCCCCTCTTCTTTTGTTTATAACGATTTTAAATTCAAGGGGGTATATGGTATAATCGTCTCATTTTCTTCTTCAGTCTATGCTCGATCTATCCATGACTACGATACCGGGAATAAAAGAAATAAAACCACATATGTCCATAGTGTGAGAATCAAAAGACACCTTGCCAATGCGCTAGAATTTTAATCAAAAGCTCTCAGCCCCCCTCCTGCGATGATCATCTCTTAGTAGAGGAGAGCGAAAGCGCCAATGACGGCGGCCAGGGTACCGGTGGTGAGGAGCTGGAGGCCGGAGGCGGAGCTAGCGACGGTGCTGGGCGTGCTGCTGGGCGTGCTGCCGGTGCCGGAGCCGGAACCAGATGAGCCGGAGCCAGAGCTAGAGCCAGAGCCCGAGCCGCCACCAGGGGTAGGAGTGCCGGTGGAGACGGTGTCGTTGCTGCTGCCGCCGGAGCTGGCGCCGGAGCTGGAGCTGGGCTTAATGGCGGCAGTGCCAGAGACGGACGCGGATGAGGTGCCGGTGGGGGTGTTGAAGGTGGTAGGGCAGGTGAGGTTGAACAGCGGGGTGGTGGACAGGTCCTTGGTGATGGCGAACTTCATCGAGTTGTCGGGGTTAGAGTCACGGAGGTTGTACCAGAAGGTGGGGACCTTGTTGAAGAGCTTGCGGCAGCCGACCTCGTCCCAGTACGTCTTGGCGTTCTCCGGGCTGGGGATAGCCTGGTCCCAGGGTTCGCCAGTGACGGGCCAGCCGGTCTCCGTAACCCAGACGGCCTTGCCGCCGGCGGTAGCGACGGTGGCAGCGTAGGCCTTGTCGAAGAGGCTTCCGGCGTTCTTGATGTCGTTGCCCTTGCCGTTCTCGTAGTAAGGGTACTCGTCAACGCCGATCCAGTCGATGGCGTCGAGGACGGGCTTGTTGGTGGCGTTTCCCCAAACGTCCCAGGTGTCAACGTGGCCGATGGAAACCTTGGACAGAGGGGTGTCCTTGAAGGCCGTCTTGAAGTCGTTGATGAAGCCGACAATGGTCTCGGGGTCGGCGCCGACACCCGACTTGTTGATGACGCCGGTGACCGAGTTGCGGTACAGGTCCTCGGAGCCGATGGAGGCGCCGATGATGAGGTCTGTCAGCTTGGTGCCGTACTGGGTAACGGCCTTCTTCAGGGCGCTGATCTCCTTGTCGATGTTGTCGGTGCCCGAGGCCCAGACGCCGAGCAGGATGTGAGTCTGGGTCTCGATGGCGGCCTCAAAGGCCTGGATGGGGTCATCGGTGGAGTAGGCCTGGATGTTGGTGTAGAGGCGGACGGCATTGAACGTGCCGGGGGCGCCGACAAGATTCTGGGCCGTCTTGAACTCGGCCTCGAAGTCGGCCTTGAACTTGGCGGAGCGGTCATCCTTGGTGGCACCCGAGTTGAAACCCAACCAGTTCTGGGCCTCGGCGGTGGCAGCGAGGGCCGTGAGGGCGGCGATGGAAATAGAGGCCTTCATGTTGATGGTGGATTTGATGTGTGGTTTTTTGTGTTTTTCCTGTTTACCTTGACGTTCGAGCGGGTGGTATCGTGGCGTCGGGTATCTTCGTTCGGATCGACGAATGAAAAAACAGGTCCCAGGAGCAAAGTTTGGGTTAAATGGTCGGGCAGAGAAAGACCGTTTGGAAGAAATTGTCCAGAGACTGTTTAGCTGTGACTGACACAATGGGGAATAAAGAGTGTATTGAGTTGGTGTTGTTGCAAGTCGTTGACCCAAAAAAAGAATGACTGGGAAGGTTGAAGGAATGAACAGGAAGAGGTCAACAGGTGACGGGGAGTGGGACAAAGATGACTTTATTATCGGCTGCGGATGCCAGAGATGTGCAGCGTACCTTACAGTACCTGCGCAGTAGTGTACGTACTGGTGATGCACCAAGAGGGAGGGACGGACGGGGAAGGGGATGAAGGAAAACAATGACGGTCGTACTGGCACGTTACGAAATTAAGGAGAGGCCAGGGCGTGGGTTTAGAGTGGGACCTCGGACGGGGGGTGGGGTGGGATGGGGTGGATGTCTTCCTCACAGCCACGATGCCAGCTGGGAGCGGGTGTAGCGTATCACGTGATGCTCCCAGGGACAGATGGATGCCTCCTTCCTCGCCTGGTGTGCCTAGTGCGTAGGCAAGGTACCAAGGTATTCGCACATTGCTCTATAATGCCTAAGGTATCCACTGCACTGCACCCTACCCTTGCCACGCCTGTCCAAGTTTGTTTTCCGGAGCTGAAATTCAAGCTTGAAAGCTTGCAAAGCTATTGAATTACGGTAGTAGCGTGCATCGTATATGTACTGTACGTTACCACGTCGTAAGCCGTTCCGCTGGGGCTGCCTCCACTTGTGCTGGAAGGGGAGCCAAGAGTGCCTGAAGACTCCTCTCGCCCTTACATACACTTCAGAACGGAGTACAGAGTAGCCAATGCATGCACCTGCACCCCCGCTTATTGGACGACCCTGCGCACTGGCTGACGCAGGGGGGAACGGACGCTGCATTGGCGTGCCATCTCATCTTTCCCATCCATCATCTATTCGTAGATGTGCTCTCAACCATTCAACGTCGCATCCATCGGCACTTGTAGCCGCACAAACCCTACTACTATTGCGTAGTGATCCCCAGAGATCGAGGTTCCATTTACGAGCGAAGACGGTCCAGCACGCGAGGACGAGGGCTCAGACGGGAAGGGGGGGGCGGCCTATGAACGCCATCGATTTCCCACGACTCACTGGGCGTTCCACACTCCAAAAGCTGCGTCAGAGGCAATGTGACGGGGCCCCCGATACAAACACCGACCGAGTCGAAACAGTGGCTGACTCGACCATGTCTCTCACCGGGCCTCGTGCGGGAGTTGAGTAGTCTCTTGTTTCAAGCATTAGCTATGCACATTGCGTTTGCATTTATAAATACTCGTTACCAATACCCGTTATGTACCAATACCGGCCCAACCCCAATCGAGTTGGCCTTCGTTCTTGCGCTGGCATCTCCCTCACATGCATACGAACACACATCTTCTGGAGCATATACATACTAGGACAGCATTTCGGCCTCGCCATATTTGTTAGATACCAAAAACACAATACGCAGTGTCACAGATGGAGGAGTGATTACTGTATTTAGGTATCAGAAGTCATTCCACTTGCGTATCCTAGTAGCTGCGAACAATGCTTCAGCCGAACAGACCAACTGCCCCCTGCTCTCCTGCCAACCAGCTTTCTATACTCCGATACATCTTATCGCACGACTCTAAGTCCTGCCCCGTGACGAGCTTGGCATCAATATCGTATCCCAGAGTACTCTGCGCGGCGCCGAGGTATTTGTAGCCCGTTGGGTACCTTGCCAGCACCTCGTCGGCGAAGGCGGGCGCAGATGTCCCATCCACGGGCACGACCTTGTCTTTCTCGTAGACGAGCTTGACAAATGCCGCTCTCCAGTCTCGATGTCCATGTCCGTATCCGTAACTGTCTTGGACGTCATCATCGACCTTTTCTTTCTTGCAGAAGAAGATGAAGCGGCAGTCGCAGTCGACGTCGTATTCGAAGCCGTCGCGGTGCTTGAATCGCTGTGTGATGGTCGCCTTCATCTTCCCGACAGCACGATTGGCCGCGCGGTTCAGCTCGACGAGGGTGCCGCACTCGCGGTGCATGATGAAGTCGCCTATCTTCTTGCCCTTGACTGAGATGCGGATGAAGTCGTCAATGAGCTGGGCGCCACTCCAGGCTGTATGTGTCAGTGTCAGTCGACAGGTCTTGAAGGCTTGTTGCAATGATCCAAACGGGCAATCGACGTACTCGTCTAGACATGGGCATTGTCGGTGAAGAGGGAGCGGTAGTTGGCCCATTCGCCGGCGTCCCGGTAAACAGGCCAGCCCTTGCAGAGCTCCGAGACGGCGAGGCGATCGAGAAGCTCGGTAGGGTTGCCTCCGATGTGGGAGTATTGACGGGTGTGAGGGTCTGTCATGATGTCTATGTAAGGCGGCGAACAAGGGCTATATACAAGATAGAGATGCTCTGGATGACCTGATTGGCGTTAACGTGTTGGCCACCGAGAAGCGAGGCGGCATCGATGTATGTATGAATGTTTCTGGGGTTCAGCCGGCTACGATGTAGTTTGGTTGCCCTTCGGAAACAGCTTGAGAGGAGAACCGACTGACTCCTGGTTGTTCTTGCCTTTCTGTTCAATAAGTAAGGACTCAGCCTGTATTTGGGAAGGAACCTGTGGATGCTGTTGCCTTGGGCTCTTTCCCCGGCATGGTCGAAGTGTGTCACGGAAGGAGCAAATCGCCTGTCTCCTTCCATCCGAGCTGCCTCAATGACGTAAATGTATCTTGACTGAATTGGTATCGCCTAGGTTTCGTATTGACCCCTAGTTCCCACAACAAGCTGTCATCCCTTCTATGCTGCCATCGACATCGAGGAAATCTATCACAGGTATTACAAATATCCGTGAGCATTTGGCCGTCTCCCCGTCCTCGTTCAGAAGATATCCTTGTAACTTGGAACAAACAGCATAAAGAGAACCAGCATCAGAACAACCCAGGGGTATTTCCACCAAGAGATCGGCTGGGTATGGCCTCCCCCCTCTCGATAGACGCTCAATGCCGTGGCATGGCCCTCTGGCTTGTATTCAGCGGCCTCATCGCTCTCATTTTCCATCTCGACTACCCTCCCGGATAGGTCATTCCCGTCAGAGACCGCGTGCTCCAAGCCCTCACGCTCGTCCACAATCTCAACGACCCTCCCATACAGTCCACTCAATTCAGCCGTCTCATGAGAGGTTCCATTGCTCCCGATGATTCTACTCGCGAGATTCGGCATTCTCCTAAGGCTTCGCCATCCGCCACCCCTCCATCTCGGAGACCTTGGCGACGTGACACACTCGCCCGTCCCCATCAGCTCCCGCATCGCCTCTCTCCGTCCCCTCATCGCCATCGCGAATCCCGCAGACGAGGAGGCATCCACGGGGGTACTCAAAGGTGTTCCCGGTACACCCCCCGTTCTACTTTCGACGCTCTCTCGCCTACCACCGCTGTCCCCTGCCCATCCGTATCCCGCAAGATACTCAGTCGGCCTTGGAGGCGGGGGCATCATATCCGAAGGCGACATCTCCCTCTCGCAGTCTGTCGTCATCGACACGGGGCTCACAGGGAACGGTGGAAAGTTTGTGCTCCGTCCAGATAGCGGGGTCGGTTGCGCTGGGGACCACGGGGCGGGGCTCCGGCCGGCGAAGAGGGGGCTGTTGGATTGTCGGCGTATGCGGATCGGGTTTGGGGCACCGCCGCGGCGGTGGCGGGGAGGAGAGATTTGCATGGCCGGCAGTCTGGAGGAAAACAAGATTCCGACGACGAGAAACGGACCCAACCGAGAGCTTTTTGATGGAAAAGATTAATGGAATTTGAATGGTCGTCAGAGGAAAAGGCGATCGATGGGGGAAACGAAGATGGAAACCTCACATCTTGGGAGGGTCGCCGCGAGGCATGACTTATGTGTTAACCCCCATTCTCTCCCCTTTGTGAAACTGGGTAAGCAAGGGGCAAACACCAAGAAATATGCGTTCACGGTTACCCAATCCGGAGTCATCCTGAAGTCTCCAAATCAAAGGAGATGCAGCAATCCAGTTTGTTGGCAACTGATGAATGAGAGAAGTTACTGCCTTGCCACAAAGGATGAAACGGAATACGAGTTCGAAGAGGGGCTGGAATTCAGACACGACTCAAAACCAAAGGGACTTGTCTTTGCCGCGACAGCTAGCGACTGCGGCAAACCGGGTTTTCGGCAATGTCGTAACGTGGTGTCGAGGACGTCTTTACTATCGACGAGACGCGGGATCTATGCGATGCGGGATCTATGCGATGCGGGATCTATGCGATGCGGGATCTATGCGATGCGGGATCTATGCGATGCGGGATCTATGCGATGCGGGATCTATGCGATGCGGGATCTATGCGATGCGGGATCTATGCGATGCGGTCTATGTGATATCAGTCAGCCCGCAATAGTAGGGCTGGATCGTGGCATTTCTGGAAACACTTCTGCTGTAATCACGAAGAAACAGATGTCATTGGATCTTGGATTTATCTATCATGCCAGCGCATCGGACCTCCTTCCGAGTGCGATGCTGAGTTGCAAGGTATGATCGAAAAAGGATAGAAAGACGCCATGCAGTCTGTATCAGCACCATCTGCCGATTCATCCTGTCCAAGACTCCGGAACCTCTTTGCAATACGCCACATAGATTCAAAGACATACACATACGCACAGAGAGAGAGGGGGGGGAGGGGGGGAAGGGAGGAACAGAAATAGATGCAAGCATTTATTCCCAGAGTAACACACTATCATTGAGAATCTTGTCGGCCCCACACAGGCCAGACCACGGCTGCTTAGAGTTGAATATCGTCTGGCACATGCAGATCCGACGGGTCAGTCCTCGTCACGCGGTAGGCATCCACAACTCCCAGGTTCACCGGCATCTTCCAGGGGCCCAGCACTTTGTCCGCGCAGGAGTGGCACCGGATGCCGTCCATCTGAACCCCCGTCTTGCGGCGCAGGGACCGCGTCCAGCAATTTTTACCTATCATATGGCCGGCGCCGCACTTGAGACGTACGGCGGCGTGCGCGTGCGGTGGGCGGGCCATCTCCTCGCCGCAGGCCACGCAGTCGATTGCGTCCGGGTCGCCGTCGGCGGCCGCGAGGGCGTCGACCTCCCCCGCGGTCAGCGGCTCGAACGTGTCGTCGATGGCGCGCTGCCGGACGTGCTCGTCTTGCAGCCATAGGGCCAAGTTGCGCTTGAAGTGGTACTGCGTGTACTGCAGGGTCTCCTCGTTGAACAGCATCTCCCCGGTGAAGCTGTACGGCCAAAACCGCATCATGTCCCTGCCGGCCTCGAGGAGCTTCTCGAACGGGCCGAGGAGCGCAGGGCCGACGAGCTCGCCCCGCCGGACGGGATTAATCTCCCATATGTGCACGAGGATGTCAGCCACGGCCCGGGCGCGCGCGTGGGACAGCCCCGAGTCCTGGCACAGCAGCTTCGTGGCGATGAGGGAGAATTCGCACCGCATCATGCGTTCGCCGTCTGCAGGCGCCAGGCTGTATTGCCTCCACAAGTCCTCCCAAGCGTCCGAGCCTCCAAACTTGACGAGGGCGCCGCAGAAGGTCTCTTGCCAGATCTTCTCTAGCCGCAATCCCTCGTCGAACTTGGACTTGAGAAACGGGATGACCGCAACCGGTGTGTTTTGGGAGTTGGCCGGATCGACGACGTTCTTCAGGACTTGGATATCTGGCTGGCCGAGATGACGCTGGACGCAGTATTCGTACGAAGGTTGGCGCACGTCAGGGACGCCTTCATTCCGAGGTCTCTCGGTGTTCATATCCGTGACGGGCACCACCTGCACGTTGTCTTGCGCCACCAGAACCGGATCGTACACGGCCATTTGACAGGGCCAGTAGCCCCGATACGGGAACAGGTATCCCTGGGACACGGTCCGGCGCATGGCCGCGCCGAGGTTGTGCAGCTCCGGCCACGTGTTGGTCGGGATGTCCTCGAACAGCTCCTTCTGCTTGGGATCCGTCCAATGGGCCCCGGTGCAAAAGGCGCCGTTGTCAAAGTGATCTTTGTCGAAGCGGCAGGCCGTTTCCATCTTACACACACGGAACGCCCGCTGGTCGTCGGCGTCGTCGACGACGGTGCCCGCCGGGGTGAAGGCCATGGTGAGGAACTCCACCAGCGATTTGGCGTACTCCTGGGCGGCGGCCTGGGCCCGCGGGCTGCTTTCGTCTATCGTGTGTAGGTTCGCGGTGACCCGGACCGGGGCGTGGCGCGTTTGGAAAAACTCATTGGTGCATGAAGGGCATGGTACGTCGTAGTTCTCCGTCACCATGCCAAGGGCCCCTGGAGCGATACAATCTGCGTATCTAGGGTTTGCGCATCGGTTAAGATATGAATAGGGGTGCTGCGTCCAGGCATCGTTCTTCCAGCACCTGTAAATCCTCTGGAGAAGGATACACATATTCTTGGATAAGATGAGACGTTGATTCGAGTGGAATGGGGCCAATGTAGCTTGCAAATTTGTTACAGGACGGCGAGAGTATGAGGAGAGCGTAGGGAGACTCGGCCATCTTGAACTCTGCTGCCAATGGCAAGGGAATCGTCTACTCGTTCGGTTGCGTCGTTGGAACTGGGAGAAATGAGCTGGTTCTCAACAAAGACCCGATAGTTTTTGGCCATGACACCAGACGCCAAAGGAGTTCAAAGTATCATTTTGCTATCTGGGAGGATATGTTTTGGGTGCTCAAGGGATTCGGCAGATCATTATGCCTTTGTCTTGCGAGTCCTCGACGAATCCCTGTCGCTTGCTCGGTAGCACGAGCCTCATGAGTTCTTCCCCTATCGTAGACGTTGCGACTGACGAGAGCGGCAGAAAATGGCTCCAACCCAGAGTGACAATGGGTTGCAAGGGAAGAGCAAAGAGCTGCAGGCTCGGGCACGAAAATAGCACCGGCTCTTTGACTACACCTGTGGCGGTCTGAGCCTGCAATAATCAACTTACACCTTTCGAGGTCTTGTCCGGCTGCCAGACATTGTGCATGGAAGGCCAGACAGACACATGGCACTCGCCACGAGCGTCTCTCCCTCGCGACGGTTGACTGTTGGCCGCGATATCCTTTGTTCGGGCTTAGTTTAGGGCCCAATAAGCTGTGAGAAAACAGTCTGCAGGCTGCAGGCTGCACGGCGGCTCAATGGTGTAGGCTGACTGGCTGAGAGGCCGCTGCCCGTCCGCCCTGTCCTGTACGGTTCCGGAAGTCCAACTCATTGATGGGCGCCCGACAGCGGGAAGACAGTGTTCATGTGCTGTGAGTGCTGAGAACTGAGAAGAGGTAATGATCGTCATCAGCTACTCTCATGTCATGCCATACGTGATGAGTGGGAGGAAGAAGAGGAAGAAGAAGAAGGAGGAGGACAAGAAGAAGAAGACAGGAAGGAATTGCTCATCGAGGCCTGCTGAGTCATGGACGTGATTATGTAAGTTATCAATCAGAATCCAAGCCCCCTCAAGCTGAGCTCCCCATGCTCCCGACTCCCATGCTCCAAGCTACCCCAGAGATGAGTTGGCAAGACCCATTCTGCGAGATCGTCTCTTCAATACGTCCCTCCCGTCACCGACTGGCATCTTTCACGATGAACTCCTCAACTCCCGCCGTATCCTCTTGGCTAACTTTGACTAGCCTTCGACAAGCGTAGACGTATCCGATCACGAGCTCACTCAAGCGGCCGGGGGAGCAACCCGCCCCCTTGACGGCCTTGATGCCCAACCAGCCATCTTCGATCTACGATGTCTTCTTCTTCTTCTCCTTCTCCTTCTCCTTCTCTTTTCAACTACTGCGCCGTTTCCTCACCCCACACCTCCGGTAAGCGAACCTGTGTGGTAGCCATCAGGGGCGAGATCTCCCAGCTTGCGGAAGAAGGCGACAATCTACGAATCAGGCCTGCCAGTGCAGTCGTCGCTATAAACCGGCGAGTATCAGCCCATCACCGTGTCGATGAACGACGAAAGCCTCATTCAACGCAACTGGTCAACCCCATCTTCCCTCCTTCCCCCCCTCCTTTCGTCAACCACGACACCCATCAGGCAAAAGGGTCCAACGTACCCAAAGTTTGGGCCACGAGCGGCCCGACGAGTGCGGGAACCGCTCCTGTGCTAGAGGGAGGGGTACCATTGCCACGCCTGCCACCGGTTCATTGGTTTGACGGCTGCATGAATCCTGCATAATCGCACCCAGCACGTTGTTCTTCCCCCCCTCCGCATGCGCTCGGCTCCGTTTCCTGCTGGGGGGGGGGAGATATACAGTCTTACACTCCCTCCGCATCCGCGTTCGCTGAGCGGTGCTGCTCTTTGCATATGCGCTCCTCCCCAGTATCGTCCTCTCGGATTCCATCACGGAATCTCCTTTTGCTCAGGCGAGTTGCCAGCTGAACCGTCGACCTCTCCCACCAATGGTCCGTGGCAGCCTATGGGACGACTCGGGGTTATATATGTGCCATCATCGGCTTTCCATCTGCTTCGCCGGTCCACCTGTCCTGTCTGTCTGTGTTTTATCATGTTTCTAACCCTTCCTTCTGCTCGCTTCCGGCCTCCCTGCTGCGTGACCCCTTGTACTCTATAAGTTCTTGATCCTTCATACCCGTTTCGAGCCATTACCTGTCTGCCCAACTCGCATTGGATGTATATCAATCTGCAACCCGGAGGCCGAGCGCCGTGGAGCCTCGGGCACAAAAAGGAGGGTCGTCCGCTCGAAGCCTCATGGCTGCAGGCATTTGAGGCGTCCGCCTCCGTGGCCGAGCGCGACACCGCGGTCACCGAGAGACAGGTCTCCATATCTGGCGGGCAGACGACCAACCTCACGGTCGGCATCACGGTCGGCGTCGCCGTCCTCCTCTTCATCCTGGGGGCGGGCGCGTTCCTCTACTGCTACGGAATATCTCTCAGAAAGATCGGCCGCCGGAGACGTCGCCGCACCCGCCGCACCCGCCGTTATCAGCACAAGTCAGTCAGCTCAAGGAGCTCCAAGAGCTCGGCTGAGGCTCCCCCGGCGTCCCATGCGTCTCGTTCGGCTCCGCCCTCTGCTGCTGCGGCAAACGACCCCCCCGCCGACCCTCCTGCCGACCCTCCCGCCGATCCCCCGGCTGATCCCCCGGCTGATCCGCCTGCGGATAAGTAGGGAGGTGGACTGATAGGGACCTCGCTTTCGCCTTGGGAGCATTTGCTTGGGCAATGAAAGAGGGAACGAGCCGGTTGAGGTTGGTCAACATGCCTTCAAGGGATGGCAGTATGCTTATATCGATATCAGGCCTGCTCGTGCCACATATGGGTGGTTTACTTGATGTAAGTTATGTCGGTGTGCGATGGTTTTGGCGACTTGCTTTGAGCGGGAGTTTCCGGGCGTAGAGGGAGTGTCCATGGCAAATACCAGGCACCAACAGGACTGGGGGGGGCTACTGGCCCGATTAGCATCGTTATGTGGCAATATGTGTGGTCGTAATTGGTTATTGTCTTACGCTCGGCCGATATTTATATATTTTTGTTACTGTTTGTATTCGAACAATGGTCTTTTCGTTTGATACAGCTGAGAAGAATTGACTTTGAGCTCCCCCGCCACAGGGGTCCCCCCCTTTTCCGACCAAGACAAGGTTACACAGCCGCCATCTCATTGTCCTCGAGAACGACCTCTCCGTCGCCGGCAGTCTCCCTTCTCAAGTCTCGAGACCCCTTTGGCACTCCGCATAGGGCGTCAAAGAAGGAGTAGCAGCATTCATTGCATGTCGCACTCCCGTCGCCTCCAGCGTCTCTTGCCGTGGCGAACTCTTCCAGGCGGACGTAGGGATCCGCATCCCATCCCATCCCCAGTGCGAAGTCCTGGTCCGGCGCAGGCCCGTAGTCGATGAAGTCGTCCCCTAGAGGCATGTTTGCCCCGGCACCCATGCCCATTCCGAAGACCGGTGCTGGGGGCATAGGCATTGCGGTCATAGGAGGCATCGGCATAAACCGGATAGTCTGCCCGCGGGCTTGAGGCTGGTGTCGGTCGCGACGGGCAGGCTGTTTTTCGGTCTTCCGTTTGGCTTTGGGGCACTGTTTCTTCTTGGGCTTTGCTTTGCAGTGGTGATGGCGGTGATGGGTGTGCGTGTGATGGCGATGCGTCCACCTGCGTACGTGAGGATGTCGATGGGTATGGGTAGGGGTATGGGATTGGGCCATCGGAGGGGCGTGCGAAGGTACGCGGTGGTCATGAGCATGTTCCTTGTGGACGTGAGAGTGTGCCGGCCGGAAGGTCTTTCTGCGCTGGTTTGGCGCGAATGCACAGTTGAAGCAAAGGTATACTATGGCGACGGCGGCTATGCCGCCAATCAGGCATCCGACGAGCATGCCCGCTATCCGGCCCTCCTCACCGCGCCGGGTGAGCCGGTGGAGGACAGATGCCGCTGCGTCGGCACTCTTTGGGGCCGTCGTCGGGATCGGTGTCATTGCAAAGATGTCCCTGGACGACTCCTCGACGTCGCGGACGCACTGCTGAGGCACTGTCTGGCTTGGGCCACTTGGAAACTCCGTCTTCTCACTTTACTGCTACGATGTTCTTATGTTAGTCAGGGACGGACGGCCCACTACAGGTGTGTGAATCATCTTGCTCATTAGCCCGACCGACTATCATCACCAACTCCTCATAAGTAGGTCGTTTGCCGCATTTTTGAGACGATGAGACGACAACATGCTTCGTCAAAGACAATCTTCAAACCAAGGAGACGAAGCAATCAACAATCCGTATCAAACTTCAGGCCGGTGATGCCTCTGTATTTGCGATTGGTTTCAGGCACACCGAACGCAAATATCTCTGCCCCCCCAACTCCACGCTGCCGGAATATGCTGCGCGACGTAGCACCAAAAACACCACCGTACACCACTTGTACCCGATTCACGTTTGCGTACAAGAAAACGTGTTGCCATTTCTGACCTTTCATCCCCTCCCGGATATATGCGTGCCGCAGCAAACACGGAGGGGAAAGGGGGGGACGGGGGAGGGGTGAAACTATTCTAACGCTCTATCCTACAAACTCGCACGTCAGGGCAATCTTCCTCCAAGCCCCTGACGCAACGTTCCAAAAAACCGAAAACCCTTAGTACACCGGTCCAAACCGCAGTTGAAATCATCGTCGTTGTGTTATCGTCCTGCGTCGCAGGGGGGGTGGGGTATAGACTCAAGTTACCACATTCTGTAATAGCCCGCCAAAAAGGAAGAAAGAGAGAAAGAGAAAAGAAAACCTCAAGTCCTCCACCGGCCGCGTCTCTCCTGCCTCCTCTCCTCCCGTTCCCGGAGCCGCGCCAACACGGCCTCTATCGCCTCCTGCGCCTTGCCCGAACGCTCCGCGAACGCCTCGTAGAACTCGCAGTCGGCGTGGCCGGGTTGCCGCTCGTTCAGGGAGACGATGGTGTTGGACAGGGTCTCCAGGCTCTCGACCAGCGGGGCGTAGTCGGTCCCGTGCCTGCGTCTGCGACGGTGGGCGTTGTCGTCGTCGTCACCGTCGGCGTCGCGGCGATACCTCGATGGCGAAGAGTACCCGTCGCGGGGGCTGTATCGTCGCCTCCGCTGGCGGTCTTCGTCCTTGCCACCGCTGCCGCCGCCGCCGCCGCCGCCGCCGCGGTGACCTCGTCTGTGGGGGCGCTCTGGGGAGCGGTCTTGTGATCGTTCGCGTGAGTGGGCATACCGGTCCTGGCTGTACGCCCTCCTCCCGCGCCCGCGGCTCTTTGCGCTGGCCCGCATCCCTTCGCGCTCGTCTTCCTCGTCCGCGCCGCCCCCGCCGGCCCCGAAACGGTCCACAGCTTTGGAGAGTATGTTCTTGCCCAGGTGCTCCAGCATCTCCATGTCCATGTTCGGGACGCCGCCCCGGGCGCGCTCGTCGCTGCCGTGGTTGCTGTTGCCTCGGGCACTGAGACGTCGGTCGTTGTAGTGTCGGCCGTCCTTGTCATCGCTGCCGCCATCGCCGCCGAGTTTCTTCATGTACTTTTTCACGGCGTATGCGACCAGCCCCCGCGCGAGTGCCTCGAGGATGATTTCCATCTGGCCGTGGTGGTTTTCTCCGCCGCCGTTGCGTTTGTCGCCATATCGGCTTCGGTTGCGGCTGGTGCGGTTCGGGGACGGCCCGGTGTCGCGGGAGCCCGTTAATGTTCTTATTAAGCCGTCCATGAGCACGTGAGGTATGGATGCATCGAAAGTGTGTGCAAAAGTGATGGGTGAGCGAGCGTATAGTTAGTTGGTGTAAGTGTGCAGGAGTGAATGAGAGAGAGAGTTGGGTATAATTGAGGTGCGGGCAGAGGGAAGAAAAATCTGCTTCCTTCTTTTTCTTTTTATTCTTCTTCTTCTTGTTTTGAGGCAAGCTGGCGATGACTCGTGGGTGGTTATTTAGCTTGTGCTTCGGTGGCGCGGGCAAGTCGCGCGGGTCGTCGTGGTCATGTGGTGATGGTGTTTTCCCATGTGATTGAGTGAGCGCCTGCACCACCCCCCCGATATTTTTGGGGGCGGGTGTGAGACAGGGCCCAGAGGAAATCGTGGATGTTAAGAAGTCAGACGGTCGCGGTTCTCTCTCGGTAGGCAGAAACACTTTTGCCTTGATGACTTTTTCTCGTGTTTTGGATGACCAACGTCTGCTGCACTTCCGGCGTGGCCTGGGGTCTGTTGTGATGTGTGTGTGATTTCGATGGCAGTGGACCAACCTGGTGGCGAGGCTATTGGCCGATGTGGTGATCCCAGTTGTGAGGCAGCCTAAGCAAAGTGGAAAAAACTACCTGGTTTGTATTCCTCTTTGACTGGAGCAATTCTCTGACGAGACTAAGTCTGCCTAGGACAATGTCTAGGTGTTGTATCTCTGTGTCTGTCTGTGAATGATTGCCGGCACCATCGATTCCCTCTCTACAGGTAAGATATAAGACGTACAATCAGACTCCAAGGGCAAGTCATAATAACCCCCAAGTCTCTCAAGCGTAACGCTGAGTGTTTATTTTTTGGTTCGTACCGAACCTGGATGCCCTTATCCTCGCCGATGCTGTTGAGATGCGAAACCCGTGTCTTCCATAATCTACGACATAAATCATGTTGTTGCCGGCACATTTTTCCGCCGTTGCGCCTCGCCTATCTATACATACCTACCCAACCATGAAAACCCCATCACACATATCGAGCTGCCCGTTTAGCTGAGCAGCTCCTTGATGTCCTCGATCCGCTGGAGTTTCTTCTCTTCATCACTCATCATGCCCAGAGACGTAGCACTAAGCAAGCTAGGTCAGTAAACGCACCTTTATCAGTTGCACAAGAAAGAGGGAGGGAAGGATCAACTCACATAAACTTCTTCCGGTCCTGGACCCGGAGCATCCTCTCCTCCACGCTCTCCTTGACGATGAAGCGATACACCTTGACCTCTTCGTCCTGCCCCATTCGGTGCACCCGATCGATCGCTTGCGCCTCAACTGCGAAACTCCACCAGGGGTCCATCATGAAAACCCGCTTCGCCGACGTCAAGTTCAGCCCGACACCTCCGGCACGGAGACTAAGGAGCAGCACGGTGAACGTCTGGGACTCCTGGAACTCGTTCAAGACCGCCGCGCGTGCCTTTTGCGCCATGGAACCGTCGAGGCGCAGAAACTTAATATTGGCCCGCGTCAGGGCTGGCTCGATAAGCGACAAGAACGACGTGAACTGGCTGAAGACGACCGATTTGACCCGCGGCTGCTCCTTTCTCAGCCCGCGCAGCGCCTTGATGAGTGCCACAACCTTGGCCGATGAGTTGTTGATGCCCAGGCGCTGCAGGCTGATCTTGGGCTTCTGGAACATGTCCGGGTCATCATCGTGCCGAACAACCTCAAAGAGGTCCCGGTAGTTGATTTCCGCGCGGCAGTTGGGACAAGTCGGCACCTTGTGGCGGTCTGTCTGGTGCTTCATGTAGTCCAAGAGACATTTTTTGCACGCCGAGTGCCAGCATCCAGTCACCGTCTGCTCCACCATTGGCTCTTCGGCGCAGATCGGGCACTCGTCTTCGGCCTCGTCACGAATCTGGCCAAGGATGTGTGCCCCGAATGCGGCCGTGCTGGACTCCGACTCCGACACCGCGGCTGTGAAGTGCTCAATGAGAGAGCCCAAGTCCATGTCGTCCGCAAGGCCTGCTGCCAAGTCCGCCGCCGCTCCGGCTTCCACCTCGTCGGCGACGAGCTCCTTGTTTCTCACCAGAATAGGGTGGCAACAGGATTGACGAAGGCGCAAGATATGGGCAAAGATGCTAGTGAATGCTTTCATGACCGTGCCCGCTTCCACGTTCTCCCGGAATGATTGCTTTGCTCTCGTGAAGATGTAGTCGTAAATCTCGCGTTCTGTTTGACTCAGCTCTACGTCGACAATCTCAATGTGCTTCGGAGGCAGTGGGACCAAGCTGCTAGACGTTAGCAACGCCCACAAGCTGGGGCACGAAACACTTACGGTTCACCATCAGGCGTCTTCATGTCCTTGGTACGTCTGAGAACCAGGGGCTCCAATACCGTTTGCACGACGTCAAGCGCCCGCATGAAGTCCTTGGACTCGAAGGGGACTGTGATGAAGGTCTTCCAGAACGAGAAGTTGTTCCAAGGCTCCACGCGTAGGAATCGGACCAGACTGAACAGATCCTCCAATTTGTTGACGATTGGCGTTCCGGTCAGCACCCATCGGTGTTGGGCAGATAGTTCGTAGCACGCTTTGGCCGTCTTCGAACCTCGATTCTTGATATGATGGGCTTCGTCGAGGATCACGCGGAAGAAGTTCAGGGAAAAGATGCCGGTGTGAGCAGACTTTTCCATCTTCTTAGAGGCGACTTGGTTGAACTCGGACAATACCACACCGTAACTTGTAATTACCACATCGGGAGCGGACGCCGCGCTTGCGGTGCAGCACATGGCCTGGAGGTTGCTGGCCTTCTCATTGCCATAATACACCATGGCCTTGAGGGTGCCTTCTTTCGAGGCCTTCTCTGCCTCACTTTGCCACTGGGACAGCAACGACATGGGTGCCACAACCAGTGTCGTACATGGTGCAGACAGCACACTTGATGAGTTGGAAGCGAGCCTTGGGAGTTCGTTGACAGATGTGGGGGCGCTGCCATTCGCCTTGGCCAGCTGGGCAATGTCAGATCGGTGAGAGTGGACCAAGCTGAGCATCTGGATGGTCTTGCCGAGACCCATCTCGTCGGCCAAGATACCACCCAGGCAGTTCTGTTCCTGGACGGGGAAATCTAGTGACAAATCTCCCGAGTACGGGTTGACGTAAAAGTGTTGCTGATCTTGGACCTGGGGAAGCTCCTTTTCGTCTGTATCCTTGAGAGGCCAGGCGTACTCCTCCCACAAGGGGTGCATGCTCGGCTCTCTATTACTCTTCTGGTCCTTCTCCTTTGTCATCATCCAGTGCAATGCTTGCTTCTGGTATGGCCTCAGGTTCATGGCGAAGGTGTCCGCAGGCTCTGCCTCCGGTGTGTTGAAGTCAAAAGACTGGGCTTTGCGGTACAACGCATCTAGCTGGTCCTGCTCCAGCTCTTCTCCATCTTCTTGTTCGTCTGAAGGAGGTGAAGACCCAGGTTCTTTGACAGCTGGCTTGGACGCATCCTTTTCCTTGTTGTCCTCCATCTCTGCGGCTTGGAGCAGCCCTTGTCGTTGGCTTTTACCAGCGGTCGGATTCGCCCGGGTTGGTTCAAGGTTGACCTCCTGCAGTAACTTTACCAATGCGATCTGTCGAAGACGTAGCTCCTTCTCTTCCGATGACTCCTTCTCCTCGAAGAACCCAGTAGCCCTGTTGTCGGAGTGGGCGAACCCGGGTCGATGAAAAGCCGAGGCCAATAGGAAGCACTTCAGCTGAATGAAGACGGTGTCGTTGGTCCGTAACCGCTCTGGAGCATAGACGCATACGCCCTCAAACTTGCAGATTTTCTGGTCTATCAACGTCGAGACCCATTCGGCCGTCTCCTTGGCCAACCTGCCAATCTCGGACCCGCTGCCAGTTGTGAACCGCACCATCACATCAACTCGTCTCGAAGCGGCGGATGCCCCGCGAGGAGCAACAGTCGTGACACCAAATTTCGTCTTCACCCGCGTAGCTTGGGGGGCTGGACCTTTTGCCGCTCGATCCTCACCACGTCTCCATGTTTGAGCAGATTTGTACCGCTGCGGGTCGCCCAGCCTTCAACGCCAAGCGAGCCGATGTATCGGGCTTCGGGCATCGTACGTCGGATGTCGGGCTTCGGGAGGTCCTCCATCGACGAATCTTCAACCGGCGGGTTGGCGGTAGAAGGGGAAGGCCCAGTAAAGGCATCCAGAGAGGAAGGTTTCTTCTTGAAGTTCTTCCATGTGCCATCGAAATACATGTTGACTGCGCGCTCAAGGTTGTTCCCACAACTGTCCTGGATCACTTCCAACACCTCTGCCGTGATCTTGCCTCCAATGAAGCTCTCAAAGGTCTCCTGATCGAACGTCATGGCGGACTCTTCGCGCTGGATCTCCGCGGGAGGGGCAGAGCGGTTGGAGGCATCTTCGACCGGTTGCTCGACGAGAGGGCCGCGGGGTTTCGTAGGCGACGAAGGGGGCTGGGCCTCTTCGCTTTCTATTTGGGTAGACTCCTCATCGGCATCCTGGAAGAAGCGCTGCTTGGGGTGCGTAGGCGGGGTGGGGAGCACCGGGCTGGATTGGTGGCTCAAAGCATCTTCCTCGGTGGCGAAGAAGCGTCTCCTTTTCGCTGGGGGCTCGGGAGATCCTGGGTATTCCATGGCATCTCAAGTTCCTGCAGCCATTGAAGAAAAGGCAAAGCAGGGGCGTGTTGGAAGCGCCACTGGCATTGAACAAGACTGCAAATAAGTAGCCCGACTTTGCTTACCCGGGAAACTGGAGACGCGTGGCTATCGCTTCAACGCGACTGACCCGCGTCGGGTCGTCATGTGACTCCGTGTTTGCTGACATAAAACAATTAAAACAATCCACTGCTAAGACGTCATTGCTAGCTCAGAAAGGTCGACCTCGGGAACTGGACCGAAAAAGAAAAGAAAAAGAAAAAAAGCCAAGGTTCCACAGCCATCGAGCTGCATCTCACGAACGACAGAACCAGCAGCCCCGACATGGCGCATTACATTAGCGTGATCTCCTGAATGAATCGCACACGGATCGCCGGCCATGGCCTGAGAAGGCTCGTCAAACCCCCTCCCAGGGGCACCAGAGGCATCGTCACCGACGCAGACGTTGTCAAGGCGAGGAAGTACTGCCAGACGCAGCTCCAGTACGTCTGCCTCGCGATTTCGCCTCCGGTTTCTCATTGACCTCTCTCCGTTGCTGATATCAATGCCTTCAGACATAGCGACTACGATGCCCACCTGATCAGCCGCCTCGTCCCGGCCCGCGCCACAGATGCCTACCTTGCCCTCCGCAACCTTAACCTCGAGCTCGTCCGCCTCCCGGAGCAGGTCTCGAACCCGGTCATTGGCCAGATGCGCATGCAGTTCTGGCGGGAGTCTATCGACAAGACCTTCGCCGGCAACCCCCCCGCCGAGCCCATCTGCGTGCTCCTCCACCAGGCCCTCCAAGATCTACGCGCGCGGTCGACCGCCAGCACGGCGAGCTCGATCAAGTTCTGGGTGCAGCGGCTCATCAAGACGCGCGAGAAGCACATGGACAACAGACCATACGCGTCACTGGCCGCGCTGGAGGAGTACGCCGAGAACACGTACTCGACGCTCATGTACGCCACGTTGGCGGCGATGCCGCTGCGCTCGATGCACGTGGACCACCTGGCGAGCCACATCGGCAAGGCGTGCGGCATCGTGGCCGTCCTGCGCGGCATCCCCGTGCTCGCGGCGCCGCAGCAGCAGCCTGCGAAATCGCACGCGGGGCCCGGCGGCGGACGTCAAGACCCCGCGCTCCTTCTCCCGCTGGATGTCATGGCCGAGGCCAACCTGCGCGAGGAAGACGTCTTCCGGTACGGGCCGCGGGCGGAGGGTTTCCAAGACGCCGTGTTCAAGGTGGCTACGCGTGCCAACGACCATCTCATTACCGCGCGCGAGATGCTCAAGAATCTCAAGGTCGGCCAGGAGGCCGGACACGAGTTTGAGCACCAGGGTGAGGCGGAGCACGTGTACGAGCACGAGGAGGACGATACGCAGCGGGATATCCGACGTGGGTTCGGTGTGCTTCTCGAGTCGGTGCCTGCTCAGGAGTATCTTTCGAATCTCGAAGGGACGAACTTTGATCCTTGGGCCGTCAAGCCAAGCTGGAAGCTGCCTTGGCGGCTCTGGCGGGCGACCAGTAAGAACCAGATCTAAGGGTCATCATTATGGCATTATAGAACCACCTCCGGTTGCCGGACTGTCACAACTTTTGGATGGGTGTACAGTATATCACTGTAAAAATACAATCAAAATAACCTGACCTGTATAGAAGAAGGTCGTGTAAACACATAGTCTTACGCCTCCGAGTATCTTCCTGGCATTGAGGTTGAGTGAAAGCGTATCAGGAGACGCCCGCTGATGACATTCCCGTCACCTGGATTGGCCGGTCCGTCCACGAGACCAGTGTGGATGATCGCACATGGCCGAGCTCCACTGTATGGCCCACCCTTCCTGTAATCCCTGTCGCATCAGCCACACGTCGGAAAATTCCATTCTGTGGCGCATGACCACCCGGAAATAATTTGGCCATCGCGAAGCTGGAGCTCTCCGCAAACCCTCGAATCATCTCTGGTATAGCGTCAATGTCGGTCACAAAATGTTGTACGAACTCATAGGAATCGTAAGCCGCAGCCTCTCTGACGACGAAGTAATCATTTTTTGAAAGATGTGAATACTGACGACACCACTAGGTGCGACCGGGCAGCCTCGCTGAGGTGAAAGAGTACGCGCTCCCCTGAAAACCCCATCGTCCCCTTCGAACCCAGCCCACCATTCCTTTCCTCTCCGACTCCCGTGATCTTCCCTCTTTCGACATCGTGTCCTGACACCATCTTTACAGAATTGCCCTCACCGCCGGCCAAATCATTCTCCGCAACGGCGGCGTCATCCGCGGCATCTCCAACTGGGGCGTCTTCACCCTGCCGCGCCCCATATCCAAGGCCCAACTGAAGCACAAGACCGGTCACTACTTTGTCATGCGCTACGACGCCTCCTCATCCACGCACGCCGACATGCGAAACACCATCAACCTCGACCCCCGTGTCATCCGCTCCGCTCACGTCAAGCTCGGCGACGGCAAGCTCGAGACTATGGCCCGTTTCGGCGGCGTGAAGTGGGATCAGTAGACGCCCTCCGGGACTTGTTGGGGCGTTGAAAACCTGGAGAGCAAATGAGAAAAATATGATATTGACGGTGGAGATGCGCGGTCCCTGGGGCAGAATGAGAGACCTCTGCGCCGGAGGCGTTTGAGAACCAGCACCGAAAAGGTGGATGGTGTATGATTAGAGAACGCCCCAAGTCGGCGTCGGGGACATCTTGATTACACATGTAGAAAGCCGACAGTAGCTCGGATTGTACAATTACGTGGCACGCCACTGACACAATAGACGGAAGGATTGCCTGAGCATAACGGGTCAACCTTGCAACTTCTCGCTCAGCATCGTCAATCAGAATCACGGCTCGGTATCAATCTAAAATTTGTTTATAACTGCATGCGCTGGGCTAATGCTGAAAATCTCACACACTGACCTTGATGCTCAGCCCCGTTTCGCCGGCGCCTGCTGCCGTGTGTTGAGCGGCCTCTGCTGTCGACGGACAGTCCGCTTCTATGTACCAAGTATGAATGTGCGCTAATTCGGACTCCATCTCCTGGTATTGGAATCATCCCAGCCATTATCTCAGTCTTCTAGTCGTGGGTTTCGTAGCCTCCTGCAAAGGCTTCTTTTGTGGGTTTCACGGCTTTTACGCATCCAAATCCATCGTCTCGGCCTTGCCAACTCCTTTTTCCTTGCACCAAGCCACGAAGTCGTCAATCACACTTGGCCACGCGCCATCTTCGCTCCAGAACGACAATGTCTCGTCCGCCATCGTCTTGGTCGCAAACTCGAGGATCTGGTTCCACATGTCGCGATTGACAGACCTTGTCCACTTCTCCTCGAGGAACTTCAACCACAGCTGCAACCAGTCATGGTTCTTGGTCTTCCACAGCCAGCCAGGGGGTGAGAACAGAACGTTCCAGTAGACAATGGCAATCTCGAGGTTGAGAGCCTTCTGGTTGGGCTCCTTGCTGGCGACAAAGGTGTGGCGATACACCTTTCTGAAGTACGCCAGGTCGGTTGACAGACTGCTCACCAACGACTTGATGTGAGCAACGTGCGCTTGACGCGTCGCAGCACTGCAACCTAGTCAGTCTCATGGACTCAACACCGACACAACTGTCTTCAATCTTACCCAGTCGCCTTCCAGCCATCAACATAGCCTTTTCTCGTGATTTCGCCGACAGAAGGTGCTTGGAGAAGCTCCATAACGACAAGAAGCTCAGCATTTTCGAGGTTGACGCCCAAGTCTTGCAGGTATGCCATCGTTGTGTCGAGACCAAGCGAGTCCTTCTCATCCTTTGAATCATCTACACGGCGTTAGTAGTGTTGGGCAGACGCAACTCCCTGCTTCTTACCTCTAAGCTTGTCGAACATTTGATTCAACGTCGTTTCGAGTGCTGAAGTCGTGGGCGTAGAAGTTCCACTGCCGCCAGAGAAGTACCTAGTGATGAGGCATCAGCTTCAGTCCAAGCAGCCGGTTAGAAGTGGCAAATAGGACACTGAAAGAGTGCAGGATAACATAAAGCCCAGCCAGGTTCCAGACAGATTCTAGTCAACTAGCAACTTTGCTCAGGACACATCAAAGTGAATGAGTGGACTACCCAGATTGGTTCTTCTCTTCAATAACCAGCCCATGGTTGGGTGTTTTGCGTTTCAACGACCACAGGTTCAGGCCTTTGGCAGGAAACGCGCGCTTGACTCCTTTCCAGCCCATCTTGTTGCGGTCACCAGTGTTCTCGGCGTCGATCGACCCCCGGCATGCGACAAGGTTCACCAGTGCAACATAGGGCCAAGTACCGTCGACTAGCACCAAGCCTAAGCCAAGCAGAAAGCTGAAAAACGAGGCGAGATGTGTGCTTATCAGCCTGTAGTCGGAGTGCGGGGATGTCCGGGTAAACTGAGTTCATGTCCACCCGTTTCTCCTTTCAGACTGTCGTAAGGGTCGGATATGAGTGGCACCAGGATGGCAGGCATTCTAGTCCGTGAGGTAAGGTGCTTGGTGTCAATTAGGCCGGCTATTGGACAAGATGTGGCCGGTTAAAGTAGCTGAAGTGGCGGCTACCACGGCGGCTGGTGCTTTGGAAGGCCATTTAGGTGCAGATTGAATGTTTCAGGAGTATTTGGCCATCGGCGTCGGCTCGGCCCTTCTTATGTTGTGTGAACAAAAGCGTATCCCTAAAAAGTATGGTCGACTGTGACGTCGCTGCAGGGTGCCTTTGTCCACGCAATGCAGTGTACCGCAGCGCTTCAAGGTGAGGAGCAAGTCCGGTTCCCCCGGGCAAAAGCGTATCTCAGACCGAGCTGGCGACCACGCAATTAAGGTGTCATGGCCTATCCATGCGTGCGCTGTACTGGGCCCAATTGTCTGAGAAGGGCCGGCGCAAGCTGGAGTCCGGTTGATGGACGGTCCGGGAAATATTCAAAGGGGTGGCAATTGGCGACAATAAGACCCATGAAAACCCGGCAAATGATAATGGGACACGACGAAACGAAACAAAACTGAGACGGAGACAAAGGAAAATCCACGTTGTTTATGGGAGGTGCACTTACGCATCGACAGCTTCGTTCAGCTTGTAGCCGGCATTCTTGAGATACTGGTCGTCAAGCATAGTCAGCATTGCGTCCTCTTCTTGCACGAGCCCATCCCGATTGTCATCTGCCGACTGTCCCCTCCTCAAGTAAGGTGCCGCTTCGGTGTCCAGTCACGCAAACAGCCCGACAGCACATTGCAGCGCTCCGTCGGGTAGCGAAGCATGACATGAAAGGTCCCGACGTTTCTCCGTCAGCCCAACGACATGGTCCACGTCTTGCAGAGTCGGAGAGTACGATCAGGAGAGCGACAGCAGGAGGATAAGCAATAACGAATGGGGGGAGGTGAGAGCAGAGGAGCGTAGGCGGAAGACAAGTGGGCAAGACCAGGCTGGGTATTTTTCTTTTTCAGTCCGACATACCCGTTGGGCGGTTCGATCGCTCGCGCCAGTGAGCTGGACGAATTGGGTCGTCATGGCCTTCTGTGATGTCGATGAAGGTGGCATTGCGACGGCAAATGTTCCACCTCGATCTGACCAGCGTATTGTTGCGACACAACGAGTCCTGGTGTCGGCGCCGAGGTGAGGGGAACCACTTGAGGTAATCGGTCGCTACCGAGGCTCGATGACGATGCGACGGGATGTGAAATCGGCGACGTAGGTAACTGAAGGGCCAAAACTGGTCGATAAGTCAGCCGTTGTAGATGCGTATGCGATTGATTCGAGGACGCGAGGTTCGGGTAGGTCGGAGGCGACGTTGTGTCTGCGAGTCGGTTGTCGTCAGGAAAGGTGAAGGGCGGTGATGTGATGTGCTGTGCTGTGCTGGTTAGAAGGGTTAGGCGCGGGGTGGAAAAGAGCTTTGGGCCGGGAGGGGGAGCAAGGCTGAATCAACGTTAGGATGGGATGGATGGTGGGGTAAACCGCGAAACAGCGACAGCGGGAGCGATCTAGGTATGGCGGGGCACCACCTTGTGGTTCTTTTGGCGGTAAGGCTCCCGGCGGTACTTGGTAGGTACGCAATAGGTGAAGTGAGGCGAGGTGAGAACAGGCAGCCATCGCCCCCGTTCTGTTATCTTCCAACGTTGACCCCGCCTTCCCTATTTGATCTCAATTCTTAGTAGAGACCTTCTTTTCTCACTTCCGAGTCACAAAGTACACTTCCTCAGGGTCACTCTGTAGTTAAGTCTTGCTATGGATAATCCATTTGGACCCATATAGTTTTCGTCCCAAATGCAATTTGTCTTGAAGAATCGTAGTGTATGCTCATGAGACCATGGGTGAGCTGAGACGATCAATCTCATCTGAACCAAGAGCCAGTGCCGTCATCTCTCTGAATTCTTGTGCAGGTACATTCCCCCCCCCCCCAAGCTAGGTACGTCTCACACAGATCAATCGTGTAGTAGTATACGTATCATTCTTGCTGTGTTGATAATTGACCAGCTGACAAGCCATCTACGAATCTATCTGGCAGTACATGACGCTATAGAAAGATACCGTATCCTAAATCCTAACGGGGCAGCCACACTGGCACTCAAAAGTTCGATTCAGTAATCTTTGTCCAAGTTTTCATTGTTTCAGTTCCACATATTCCCCGTTGAGCACGTTGAATAAATCGATGAATGGGACGTCGCGGAACAATCTCAATCCTCATGACTTACACGCACTCACTCACTCACTCACTCACTCAAGTACTCATAAGAGGTCTCGGTGCATGTGCATGGGCATCGTCAAGCACTGTATGACAGGCCCTCTCTAGTGATGCAACAGAGCACTCAAGCCCCTGAGGCCGGCCATACAGTGCGGGCGTTCTTAGCGCTGAATGTCACTGGCCAGCCCCACAACCCATTACGTCTACCAATGGCACCAGATGCGCTGAGCAACTGGTTTAATTGATTGGAGCAGGCAGCAGACGCGACTTTTTTTACTCGACGCGCCGCCGTCTCACGAACGTCCAAGTATCTTTCCAACTGTGATAGAACAGGTCCCAACATCTACCTTCAACACTGGCCTCTCACAGCTACCCGACACCGACATGCCATAGGATGGAGCCTCTACGCAGTCGGGACTCGAGCGAACCGCCAGTCGACCCTGCGCATCCTTTCAAGGGAGTCGTCGTGTGCTGCACTAGCATCCCGCCAGACCAACGAGTAAGTCGTGGTGCATACACCGTTTGCCCCTTCACCAATTTTTACCTTCGCCGTCAACCTTCGGGACCTCTAGGCATATTGAATGCTCTGACAGCCCCCGGTAGACCCAAATAGCAAAGAAGACGGAGGAACTCGGCGGCATCCACAAGTACGACCTAACCCCCGACGTAACACATCTTGTCGTAGGCGACTATGACACACCCAAGTACCGCCATGTTGCCAAAGAACGAAACGATATTAAGGTGATGGACGCCAAGTGGATCGATATAGTTGGGGAGCTGTGGATGAAGGATGCCGATATCGACTTTGCCGCTCTGGAACGAGAGTGGCAGCTGAAGCCACTCGAGACGTGCGGCCATGTCACTGATCTGGAGAACCCTACCGCAGCCAAGCGTGGGGCCCTGCTGCTTTGCATGACGGGTTTCGACGATCGTGGGTTACCTGCGGCACTCAGAGTCACAAGCGAGTCTAACACATCACAGCCGAGCAGCGCGCAAGCATCATTGACAAGATCACCGCCAACGGTGGCGCTTACACCGGCGACCTAACGAAACGAGTCTCCCATTTGCTAGTCCATAAACCCGAGGGAAAGAAATATAAGGCTGCTCGGGCGTGGAACATTCGCACCGTGTCGTTGGCATGGCTGGAGCAGAGCATCGAACGCGGCATGATCTTAGACGAGCAGTATTTCGACCCAGCCCTACCCCCCGAGGAGCAGGGCCAGGGCGCATGGAACAAAGCCAACCATCGGAGGGAATCCTTGGGGAAGAGATCGAGGTCGGGGGTCGTGGAGGGGGGCCAGCGGAAGCTGAGAAAAACGGCGAGCATGAAGCTCAGCAGCCAGAGAGACACGCTCTGGGGCGACATCCTCGGCAGCAAGCCCACCGGCGAGCCCTCCGCACCCGGGGACAGGGCCGACAGGATCGAGGTCCAGGATTCTGGCGTCCACGACCGCATATTGCATCCCGCCCCGGACGCGGGCATCTTTTCGGCGTGCTACTTCTTCATGGCCGGTTTCGAGTCGTGGAAATCAAAGATCCTAGCCGAGACGATCGGCTCTCTTGGCGGCCACGTATGTGCCACTTTCGAAGACGTCACCTCCAAGGGGTACGAGGCTAGCCCGAGCCGCAGGTTCCTTATCGTACCGCAAGAGTCGCAGCCGTCGACACACTTCCAGCTCCCTCCTGCGCACGCCGACAAGATCCAGATAGTGACCGAGTTCTTTGTCGAGCGATGTTTGCACAGCAAAACCCTGTGCGACCCAGATAGCCACGTATTGGGCCGGCCCTTCCCCGTGTTCCCCATCCGCGGCTTTGAAGGCCTCTCCATCTGCACGGCAGGCTTCTCCGGCATCGATCTTCTCCACGTGGAGAAGGCCGTGAGGCAGATTGGTGCCAAGTTCGCGGCGAGACTCAACGACGCCACCTCGGTACTGGTGTGCAGGGCGCTGGCGGATACGAGGAAGGAGAAGCTCAAGTTCGCGTTCGACAACAGCATCCCCATCGTCCACTCGGAGTGGCTGTGGGAGTGTATAGCGACGGGCTACAACGTACCGGTGCAGACGCACATGTTTCCTACGCTGAACCAGGCGGCTGATCTCCAACCCAAGCCGAGGGTCTCGGAGTCCCGGAACGAAATCAAGCAGGCCTTTCAGAGGACTCTGTCCGAGCCCGTCCCTCATATTCCAAAGAGGGCAGCAGCCAGACACTCGACCATCGCTGGGGGCATCGACACAACGGCCTTCAAAGACGACAACGACGGCCAGAGGGCCGTGCCAGCTATAATCAAGAATCCAGTCGCGCCTTTGGTAGAGCCAGACAGAGAATTCACCAAGGTGGACTCGGCCACATCTCTGCAATTTCAAACCGCCAAAACACACCAGATGGACAGCTTCGGCGCGGGGACGGTGGCGCCGCCACTGTCGAACGCGACTTCAAACGCGCTGAACAGGTCATCCACGAGCGAGTCGACAGCGAAACCCGCAAGGACGCTGGTCAGGACCACGAGCGTTGCCGACAGCATGGAGCCGACGCCTATCCCCATCGATGAGGAGCCGGCCCCCGTCCAAGACCGGAGCGAACCGGCGCCGGCCGCCAACGAAATCCAAACTGGGACAAGACCGGTTGATGACGAAGAGACGGAGCTGAAGCGTCAGAGGGACGCGCAAAAGGCGGCCGAGAAGGAGGCCTTGACGTCGAAGTTGGCGTCCCTCATCGACTCGAAGCGCAGCGTCGAAAGCATGCCCGAGGAAGAGAGCTCGGGCCAGCAGCAGCCGAGACGCCCTCGCAAGCGTCCGTTCGGGCGGGCCATCAGCAACGCGTCGGCGGCCTCAAGCGGGAGCGCCGAGTCTCGAATGGACTCAATGGGCCGCACGGCGGACGAGTACCAGCCGCAACAGGACGCCGGGCAGCAGCAGCCGCCACCATCGACGCAGATCCAGTACCAGGACCCGGGGGCCCAGCAACACCGGGACAAGATCATGAGCAAGATGCGTGGCGGAGACGGCAATCCCTCCGCCGTCGGTCAGGGGGCGGCGGCAGCGACCAAAAAGAAGATCACGACGATTGGTGGTTTCGACTTTAGTGACGAGGGGAGGCCGAATACCAGGCAGCTCCGGCGCAAGTAGACAAGAGGAGGATGCTTGGGACCCCCAGGAGGGAGGGGGGGAATCCTCCCCCCCAGCTCGGCGGCCCCGTAATTTGGGCAATTGTATATAAAACAACAGGCTACTCTTTTTTGGTTCGGGAGGGGTGGAGCGTTTGTTGCCAGGATCAATTCACCCAAGGCGTTGAAAGAAAGCAAGGGAAGAAAGGGGTGGGCACGCACGGCACGCACGCGTTTTTAGCATCGCATAGCATTGACGAGACATGGATGATTGACGCCAGATTGATGAGGATATAGTTTCTGATTCGAATGTGGCAAATGATAGAAAAGCATCAATCTGGGTATCTTCCATTCCGCATACGTACATACATTTACATCTACGTCTCGGTCCCTTTGGTCCTCCGTCTCTTACAGCGAGCTCTGCGGCCAGGTTGGTCCAACCGCTTGGTACAGGTACATTGACGCTTTCTTAGCAGTACAAAGGAAAAAGTGACGGAAAAAAATAGTGTGTACATGTGGCCTGTTTCTGCGAGTTTGATCGAGTCTTTTCCTCCCAAAAAAAATGAGTCTTTGTTTGAATGTCCTGTATTCCGAAAAACAAAAACCTCTTGCAAAGCGAAACCGTGCCTCGGGCGCAGCCCTGGCGACACAAAAACTCATTCGTGCTAGTGGAAACAACAAGTTGATACAGGAGGGACTTCCGTCCGAACATACGGAGTCATCGTACAAGTTTGAGGTGAGCAGAAAGCCGGGGACTGCTCAAGAAGGTCGGTCGTGAGAGCAGTGGTGGCCTACAACGCTGACGCCGCCTCGGTGAGAACGCTGAGCAGACTCGCCGCGGCGCCGCCGATGCCCACGGCGCCCAGCGTCTCGCCCCAGACCTTCTTCTTGTCACGCCTCTCGCGATCCGAGCGCTCGCGGTGGTGCCGGCCGGGGTAGTGGTCGCGGTCCCGGTCCCGGTGTCTGTCCCTGTATCCGTCACGATCACGGTCACGATCACGATCCCGCTCGCGCTCGCGGTCTCTGTAGTTCCCGTCGCGGTCCCTGCTATCGTAGTCCCTGTGCTCTCGGCGGGAGGGACGCCTCTTCCTCTCACGGTCGTCACGATGGGACCGCGGCGAGGATGAGGCGTGCGGGTCGAGCTCGTGCGGCTCCGGGTGGAAGCGTACGTGGTTCTCGTTCTTGTTCTTGAGAATCGGCTTCGGCTGAACAGTGGCGGCGGGAGAAGTACCCTTTTCCCGGTCCGAGAGGGGCGGCACGATGTAATACGTCTTGCGGCCTTTCTGGTTGTCGTCAGGATGGCTTGTGTCCGAGGAGTTGTCGGACGAATCCCAGAGGTGCTCGTCAGAGGAGGTCTGGGATTCGCCGCGGCGGCGTGGAGGGGAGGAGCGGCTCGTCGGTGCAGCACCTCCAGGGCCACCGTTACGACTTCGCGATGAACGTGCGGCACGGGCCTCGGCGGACAGGCGGGCGTACTTTGTGATCTCTTCCCGGGTGAGGACGCCGAGGACAGCAACGTAGTCGGGGCGGGCCTCGTAGCGGACGCCAGCGCGCTCGAGGATCTCAGGGGAGACGAGAGCACGGCGAATACGGGTCCACTTCGCATCCATGGGAATGTCCAGGCCATAGCGATCCGGTGCGATACGGGTCTGAGATGACCGTGGGGAGGCGCCGTAGGCTGAGGGAGGCAGGCCGCCGTTGCCGACGTGAGATGGGATGGGAGGTACGAAGCGTGGCGAGACGCCGAGGTTGTTGGGGGTGGATGAAAAGTCCGCGGCAGCGCGGGCGGCTGCTACGTCTGGTGGGAGATACCGCGAGGCAGGCGAGTTGGAGGACGGGGAGGTGCTATAGTGTTGGGCGGCAGTGAGGCGGAGGTTATCCATACCGCTGTTGAGCGTGTCCATAGCCATGAGGTCGCGGGTCGAGATGAGGGCAAGCGAGTCGTTGTGCTCATCCTCGATCCCGTTTTCCCTCTCGTACGTGGATAGGGTGCTGAACTCGTTTGGCATGGCGGGCGCGGATCGCGGGTCTGCCGCCATGCGGCGGTCACCTCGCACTGCTGGGGCATACCGGTCGCTGTAAGTGCCATAGGTCTCTCCTGGGCCGCCAACGTCTCGGTCTTGGAAGGAGGACGGCGTCCCGGCCATGACTGGATGAGAGTGAACGCGCTCCTGTGCGAGGAGGCCGCGGACGGAGGGCGGTGCTGTGGCATCATTGCCGGTTGATTCTTCCAGCTCGCGGATGTAAGCACGCAAAACCTCCTGTGTGGGTGTGTTAGTTGGGGATCTTTCTGATTGGGCATGTGCTCATGGAAGCGTACCTTGTTCTTCCGCAAAACATCCTTGGAGAAACCCTCCTTTTCCAACTCGGTGCGGAACTGCTGCCATAGATCTTCGTCGTCCTCGCCGATGCCACTGTCTCTTCTTGCGAACAGCCTCGCAGCGATGGCGTCCACCTTGTCCTTGATGTTGTCAAGGTTCCCGCCCTGCTCATCCACGACACGCTGCGCCTTGCTGGGATTGTGTAGCTGGACAGTATCGAGGAACATGTCGATATTTGTCTTCTGGTCGGCGAGCTTGGAGCGGATCATGGCGACCATATCGCGCTCGCGCTCCTCGAGACGAGGGGCTTCGCCATACTTTTCCAGGATGGTCTCGAGCTGCTTTAGGGCGAAGTCGCAGTCCTCGATGAGGGGCGCGAGCTGACGGGCATAAACAGACGAGGCATCCGAGTTGAGGAGCGAGTCTGGGTCCTCAGCCTCGACCTTTAGGTGCTTGAGAACGGTGTGCAGGCGGCGGACGGCGGTCGCGACGTCTGCGAAGTCGGGTCCGGACGTCTTGGCGCGGCGGTAGAGAGCACGCGCGAAGGCGTCGACGGCGCTGAGGTTGGGGGCTGGGGTGCCGTTGCTCATCACGGCGGAGCGATGAGGTTGTTGGTGGTTGTGGTCAGTATTACCGGTTTGTTCTGCTCGATCGACGAGCAGATGTCTGGCGTTTGGTGAATTTGTAATGTGGTTGGTATGTTGGTGGTGGTGATGTTAGTGGTGGTGATGTTGGTGGTGGTACCGGTAGTAAGGGTGTCAGCGAGACAGAGAGGAAGAGATATAGAGAGAAAGAGTGAGAGACGCGAGAAGATTTTGGCTTGCAGAAGCTACGTGCTCGTAGGGCGGCGGCAGATGTAGTTGTAGTAGAAGGCCGCGTCGGGTTGGGATCGACGGCAGTACGCAATAGAGAGAGCGGGTTAAGGCCAGGGAAAGGTGATGACAGTCAGGAATCGCAATAAAGATGTAGCATCAGAAGAAAAGATGTTTGCGAGGGGCCTGTGGATCAGGGTTGTGAGGCAGCGAGAACGTAGGTGACGGGGGATGAGGGTTGAAAAAGGAAAGGCTGGTCCGCAGGGTGGGAGAATGTGAGGAGAATATCGGTAGTGTAGAGAAGATCACGGGGCGAGGGTTATTTGCAGACGTGTGAGACATGAGGTCCGAGAATAACTTCAGGTTCGGTGAGGGTAGATCAGAGCAAACAAGTGCAGGAGATCCAAGTGTCGGTAGCCAAGGAGGTAAAGTGAAGTAGTGAGGTATACTTGTAAAGTAGAGCAAGTGCACAATATTACTGAGAGGGGGGCGACACGAGTAAATCGTAAACGAGGACCAAAGGACCTTGTCTACCGCACGAAAATACCATGTCTATCTACAAGCGCGACGAGCCAGGCCGGGCAAACAGCGACAACAGCCCGAAGAAGGGTGGGTGTGGTGGCCCAGAACGGGGACCTGAATGGCGATATTGTTGTCATGGAATGCAGAACCGGGTGGCTGACGGTGACTTCAATTGTCACTTTTTTTTTTTTGCTTTTTTGCAGGGAGGGGAGCGAGAGCGCAAGAGAGACAGAGAGAGGAAATGGACCAGGGGGGGTGGTCAGGTTGTACCTCACCCGGTGTACAGATACTCTACTTGAGTCCGTCACTTAGGACGCGGCAGCAAATCATGTGGATGCAACCCGAGGATGACTCCAACTCGGCCCCGCGCCGCTTGGAGAAACGGACAACCCTCGACTCCAGATACCGGTACCTGCCTACATGCTCACCTACCTAGGTAGGTAAGTAGCTTGGTATCATGTACCGCAGTACCTCACGTGGAGAAGAGAAGGAACGAGGAACAAGAGGAGAGACAGAGGGACTTGTCTCGTCACTCACCAACGTCAGTAGATGCCTTGGACACCCCTGGATGGATTTGGGTGTTTCCGTTGCAAGCAGGGGATCTGCGCCACGTCCAATCCGTTTTTTGCATTGGTACACGATGGCGTGAAGGAAGGGGGCCGAGTCTTGGGGAGGGCAGGTAGATGGGTAGCCGAGATGTCAAAGGCAACGTCAAGTGGGAGAGAGGCTTGAGGTAGAAGACACATGGCAGAGGACAGAGACATTCAGCCCGCTGCCATTTTACAAACGGCGATCAAAGAGGCACGTACACCAGGCGAGAGTCCACGGGCAGTGCAGTACACTACCTGCAAGACTTGCTTGCTTGGCCTTTGCATGCTGGCTCCAACTGGTCCTCCTCTTCCTGGGTGAAGGGGGGTTGGTGACTGCGAAGGGGGGCGCTTGTGATGTAAACCACAAACATCGTAGTACAGTTACAGGTAACTTGGTGGTGGTGGTGGTGGTGGTGGTGGTGGTGGGATGTGGGAGCTTTGTGAGATGCGTGCGAGACATGACATGGCAAAGGCTCTTGGAGACTTTCCCAGCTTCCTGCTTCCTGCTTCCTGCTTCCTGCAGCTACTACTAGTGACGTATTAGCTGTTAGTGACGTTCCATGAAATCATACTGTCTGGGGGGATCAGCGACTTGGATCGTCACTTGCCTCCTCCCGAACGGGCTTAGTTCCGCGGCCGGGCTAAGGACCCTTTCCTCCTTGTCCCCCTCCCTCCCCCTTCCCCTTCGGGTCGGTCTTGCATTTCACTCTTTGCCTCTCGTACCTTCGTGCCGTCGGTTGTACCTTTTCTGTCCGTGTCCGCTGGAGTAGTACATGGGAAGGTGCGAGAACCACAGGGAAAGGGCGTCCACTGGCACAAGACCCGATCTGGTAAAGGTACTTCGTCCTTTCCGTAATCTGAAATAAGTGCATTACATAAGATGGCGTGGCATCGGTTGTAATAGTGTACTTAGTTTGGCGTTACCGCACGTCATGTCAATGACGAAGCGCCCTCGAGCTTCAATGAAGATGATACTCGTTCACGCCCGTTTCTCCACGCCCAAGCTCCATCAGCTGCCGCAAATAGCTGTCGTGGGTGCTATGTTTCGTCGACTTGATTGAGTGGGGAGTGTTTTGAATGCAATCAATCCCTCTTCCAACCCCCGAAATAGCTTACAGCGTCTCAAGCAGATGATTTTGTTTCCCCATAGGGCTGGTTACCAATATCGACCTTCACCACGACCTTCATCACGGTCGTCATGCTAACGCCAGGGGAGCCCGGTGGCGGGGGGGGAGTACTGTACGTACGGACCACAAAGCTACCACCTTGTGGTCCGTGTTCAATCTCTTGCATCTTCACCATTGCTCTGGGGACTCCCTGACGGCTGACTAGGGCAGGGGTTCCATCCCTTGACGTCTGCGCCACCCGCCTGGATCAATCGAGTGCGAGAGAGGGGCGGGCCGCCACGAACTACGCACCGTTGACTCCTATTCTACAAGGCTCTTATCTTAGGAAGAGAGAATCCCTTGCAAACCCTCGGCAATGAATGCCGCCGCCCGGAAACCAGCCGCGGTCAGCAAACATAGATACCGCAGAGTGCCAAGGCAGAAACGCACAAAGAACCTGTGGGGGGGGGGGAACGATCCCTCGCAGTGGAAGGAGGGAAAGGGACGCAACGCCAGCGACAGCGACGCCCATCACGAACTTAGCATGACAACCTGTAGCAAGGCAGACCGAGGCACACGGAAGCGCTGCAACGAGATACCGAGGGCCGTTAGTTCCTCGCTCTCTTCACTCTCGGCGGTCCCCGGTGAGGGAAGTCACAAGAAAAACGAGGTCCTTCGACGTCCCGGGCCTCGTAACCCCTGGCTCATACTCATGTTCGTTCGTGTCTTGCATACCCGTGGGGAAAAGGGGGTCCAGTGGGCTTGGACATGCTGTTCTCAACCTTGCCGTGCTGCGCAGAATACGGAACAGAACCTGCAGCACTTGCAGCACTTGCAGCGTTGTAACCGATTGGAATACGGGGAGGGGGCAAAAGAAGGGCCCCTTTACCTTTCGCCTTTGGGTTCCGGCTTGCATATCAGTTCGCTTGGCCTCCTCGGTGGAACCAAACGGCCGAGAAGCGCGCTAACACGGCCTTCTAGAAGCCCGACTAGGTAGCTAGCACGTTCGATCCGTCCGAGGGTCTGGGAATCGTATTCCATTGAGACAGGAACGGGCAAGCACCCGTCGCCTCCGAACAGAAGAAAAACCCAGACGTTTCGAAGGTGCTACTTTTCCAATATGAAAAAATCGAAATGGCAAAAGAGGCTCGGTGCTCGAAACGGCGCAACGATGACTGCGCACAGTTAATGCTGCCGGGTAGGGAGGGGTAATATCCTCGTGGTCAACGGAGCTGAGCTGAATTGCCCTTGTCGGGCAGTCCAGTCGTATCATGCAAAACCCCATGCCGAGGAAAGTGCACTTTTTGCTGCATCTCTCTCTCTCTCTATCTACACCTCTTTCCATTCTCATCTCCACGACTGTCGTTCTCCGGATGATCTGATTTGTCTCCTGTAGCCTGTAGCGCATGACCGAGCTTTTGCGCAACCTTGTTTCTTTCATGTTCCTCCCACGCATGCGTCGCCCCGCGAACCTCGCTTATCGCCCTACCTGTCCGTCTTACACAGGGCTCGTCAACTCGTCGTGAGCTGTCACTGCTGACCTGATTCCCCGATGCCCTTTCCTGCAGCGTACCACTCCCTCTACTTGACCGAATGCAAAAGGGGGAAAAACGACCGGCAGTCATGCAGTAGTGTTGCAGCAGGCTGCCCGACAAGCCACAATCAAGCGCAGAATCGTATTCGCTGGATAGGTTACGAACCTCGCAGCCCGTCCACAGCTGTACAGCGCTAACGTCTGTCGAGAGGCCATCGCCATCCGCCATCGTCAGCGCCAATCAGAGGTCTTCGTCAGAGGAGCATCCTCGAGCTTTTCCCACACCGTCGGCAGTCGCAAAGCCCCTCTGAATGTGCAAAGCCACCGCCCTACCATCCCCGCGTGGTTTGATTGGGAGCGTGGAAAATCGATAGTCTCTCCTTCTCCGTCTCTCTTCACCTTTCGACTCCTCTTCTTCAATTTCTCCATGTGTTGTCGTACGATGCGTTGACTGGCTTGTGAGACCAAGTGAGGCTGTCAGATTCTCCTCGGCATCTCAACTTCACCACCCATCAGGCAGCAGCCCCACCCCAGTGACCTAGACTTTGGACGGATGCTCCGGTATCTAGTGCATATCCTCGACGTCTCTCGAAACCTGAGATGGAGAGAGAGAAAGAGAAAGCTAGGGCCTTTCTGCGTGGTCTTGTCAGGATTGTCGCCCTTTGACCATCTCTGCCACATGCCCGTCTCCAGGCCGAGGATTGGCGCGGAGGGGGGGGGGGGGGGGGTGCTTGCCGCAGAGGCTCAACGCTTGTTTGATTATTCAGAAATTCCCGCTCTTTCCTTGGGCGGACGCTCCAAAGGAAAGCCAATTGTTTCGCCGGGTCTGAGCTTCAGTACAACGCAGCTTGGTTCGGCAGATTCTTGTCAAGCTCAGGCCCCTGACAGAGACGAAGGTGATCGTTTGGGAGACCGACCGCTTTGCTTCGCTCGGCGTACTTACATACATACATGGCGAACTGCAGCAGAGTTTTGGATGCCATCCGTGTCACACCGACGTCAAAGTTCAAAGGGTTCCTGATTCGTCCAGTGTTCAGGCTACGGCCTCGACATTCTCATATGTCAGCTGCGCTAGAACTTGGTCGATTGTTTCTTTGGTCAGATCAATGCAAACTCTATTATGCTAGTTTAGCCCTTGGGTGACTCCCCCCCTTCGGCTAGCCAAGCCAGCTTTTCGTTTCTTTTCTCTTCTCTTATGGTTTTGAACGGCTTCACCGGACTGTAACCAGCGACGCATCGCGGCGGAGAGAGAGGGTGAGAGAAATGCACGCGTCGGTATCCGTTCACTTGGTATCTTTTCAGGGCTGCTGACCCGTATCTCCTGACCCCTAGTTCCTGTCCAGACTTTTTTCGCTTTCCACCGCGGTTCACTGCTACCACCACCGGGCACGTTTCCACTGCCCGGGTCAACTAGCCCGTGCAGAGCCTTTTCCTCCTTTTGCTTTTTCGTCGTGTGTTCCGCCATAACTCCAAAAGCCGGTTAATCTCGCACATGTGGACAACAATGGTGTGTCTGTGTCCTTGACACAACCCTCCACCCCTCCCCCCCGTCCGACATGCGGCTCAAATGGAAATCCTCTCCAGAGAGTATGCCTTGACCTTCTGACTCAGCAGGTGTCCCTTTTCACGGGAGCTCCTCTCGAGCACCTCACCGCCCGAGACGATCTTGACGTTGGACACGCTTTGCTTGGACACGAGTCCCAAAGGCAGGTGAGGCGAGCTCTCAACGTCAAGCGACACCGGCTTAGCGAGGGCCTGAGCACGCCCAGAAGGCGCCGTCTTAACCCCGGCCTTGACTGCTCTGCCGTATTGGACCGCCTCGCCGACGATGCCGTCCAGGTAGACGGCCTCGTTCAGGCCCTCCAGGGCTGCGCTGACTTCGAGCTTCAATGCCGTGATGAAATCAGTCGCATCCGCGCGGTCTCCAAGGGATGTGCCATTTGTAAGCCACCCACTGGGGCCTACAGAATCAATGCATCGGGAGAGGAGTTCCGCGATGAGCGAGATGGCGCTATCGGGCGGCGCTCTTGCGGCCTCGTCCTTGTCAAAGTTTGTCGAGTCCACGTATCTTGATGTCCAGGCACTGCCGATGAGCTGGACACGTAGCAAGTGAATGAGTGACAAGACCTCTGTCGGGTTGAACGTTTCGCGAAGAGCCCGTACCGTGGCGACCGAAGAGTAGTTTGAGAGCTTCTCAAAGGCCGTCGTTAGGGTCCGTGCGCGGAGGTTCGTGTCGTCGCCCAAATGATACTCGGCCATCTCGAGCTCCTTCTCAAGATGGTCAATCTCCATCGCCACGTACTCTTCCTCCTTCGTCTCCGTCGGTGCGGGGAGCAAGAGTCTGGATTGCTGGTCGAGGCTGCGCATGATGATGCGGATGACGAGGAGGAGTTCCTTCTCGCCAAGCTTGGTGGCAGAGACGTAGTTCAATAGCAGCTCCATGGCCGGGTCCATGTCGACGAGTCGCTGGACAAGCTTGTCGATGATCGTTTCCTTGGATGCCGCCTCGACCAGCTCGCTCCTGAAGGCGGCAGACATGTTGGCGTTGGTGAGATGACCGGCGGCGATGAGGTAGATCATGACGTTGCTCGCGGGGAGCATGCAGCGAAGGAGACCACCTTCCTCGGCCTGGGTATCCATCGAGAACACCCTGCTGATGGCGTACAGCACCCACCGGCGGTCCACTGCGGGATACTTGTCTGAGCTATCCAGCCACTTCCAGTCGGGCGTCTGGACACCAGTGACCTCCGCGTCTTGGTCGATGGCGACTCCGAACCGCTGTGCCAAGAGGCCCTCGAAGGCCTTCCAGTCTTGTGCCAGGAGATATCCGTCCGCCTTCTCCACGTCTGCCAACGACTCCTTGACGTATTCGTCCGAGAGGGTTCCGGGGAGGTAGTTCTCGAACGTCGAATCCCCCGTCTTGGGCAAGCTCGCCGGCACGCGGTCTGATCTTGGCAGGCCTCGTCCTATGGAGTCGATGAGAAGGCCCTCCTTGCTGTGGGACTTGGGACGCTCAATCTGGATGGAAACCAGGGTGCTGCCAACGACAGCAACTGCCATGTCCAACTTGGATAGGAAGGTGATCAGCGTCGGCTTCTGCTGCTCGGTGCTTTCGGGAAGCTGAATCGCCGTCGAAGCCTGGACCGAGTGGAAGGTAGGGTTCACCATGCTAGCAGAGTTCTGGGACAAGCAGAGGACTGAGTGCTCTGACAGCTGGAGGAACGAGGTAAGCTCGGGCAGAGGCAAGCGACCCTGCAACTTGGGTACGGCACTCGTAAGGTCGTAGGTTCGGAGGACAGCGCCGGACAGCTGGAGGAGCTTCCCAGACTGGATGTGAAGCTGGTAAGTAGCCAGCTCAGCTGCAACGTCGTCCTGAGAAGGCAGGGGCGTCACGTGTAGCTGGACCAATGGTTGTGAAGTGACAGTAGGCAGGACGCCGAGAATGATGAGGAACCTCGATATCGTATCTTCGCTGTCGGCGCGGACAATGATGGCGAGCACATCCGGGTTGAAGGTCTTGGGGTCGATCTGTCGCCCGAAAGAGCCAAAAGCGTCTTGTCTGCCCTGGAACAGCCCATTCAGGACCTCTGACGCCGCAGCGTGCAAAGAAAATTCGACCTCATACCCGGAAACGGTCGAGGGAAGCAGGTCCTTGCACAGGCTGTAGGAAGCTGCGCTCCACTTCTGCTCCAAAGCCTCGCCGTCCAAACACAGAACCTGCCCGTCCTTACAGAGACCAAGCACGTCGCCCCTCTCGGACTGCGGTGCGTCGCTCACAACGGTGGTGTCGATAGCGGACGATGTGAAGAGGTAGGTGATCGGGTGCTTGTGACGCACTCGCTGAGATGTGCTGGTAGAGTTTGTCTTGCCAGTCACGTCGATAGCATCTCGGCAGAGGGTGATCTTTGCGCCTGTCGAGTCTTGCGTTGAGAGGTAGGTGTAGTTGTTGCGACCGCTCGCGCCGGCTCCCTGGTATCGAATCGAATACGGCGCGCAGGTGAAGGACTCTTGGGGTGGGATCGGGTAGGATGTTCGCAAACCAGAGGAAGGGACCTAGAAATATTAACAAAATGCTGTGATGATGCCGCTAGACCCGAGTACTAACATGATAAATGTTTGCTGCTTCCCCGTCAACACCGACAACAACCTCCAGCCTCTTCCTCTTCTTGGATCCGGGCTTTTGTGCGTAGACCTCTCCGATATGGTACTGGCCCTTTGTGTGGTCGAGAGGACGCGGCAGGGAAGCCAAAACATCTGGTCGGTGGATGCGGAAAGTGGGAGCCATTTTGGATTGTCGAAAGGCTTCGGTCTAGGGAAGCGATTCGTCTGGAATATCAGCAGTGCCTGGCTCTGGGTGCAACTGCAATGGCTCTGGTCAAGCTCAAGGACCCGGCAGTGTAAGTGATGGCTTCGATCTCGAGAAAAAAAAAAGTTAGGAAGGCCATGCGCCGTAGTGGGGTGCAACCACAAAAGCAGGATAGCGTCGCACTGTAGAGGCTAGCGGGAATTTGGCGCTAGCCGACAGTGCGCCTGGCTCATGTCGTCGGATTAAGTCACCAACCGATAACCCGATATCGATAAGATGTAGAAATGGATCGATCGGCGATAAGTGAGCAATAACCGATGTGGCTGGCTACCTGGGCATCGGAGGTGTGTGGCAGACACCTGAATGCGGGTAAGTTGTGTGGCTGGTGCATCTTGTCAGTCAACGGATACGTACCTGGAGTCTACACTAAAAAGTGTGGTTAATGGAAGTCGCGGTACGCGCTGCTGTCCCCAGCGACTGGGACGCGGTTTAGAACGCGACGGGGGTGGGTGATTCTTGCAATACCTCGACAGCCCACCCACCACGACAACTCCTCCTTGATTTACCTTACTCTATGTCATAACTTTGAGTTGGAAAAGGCTTGTCCATGCCAGTGTCTTTTTTTTCTTTTTTCTTCAGTGTTGGCTCTGGGGGAATTGCAATTGCTCCTATAACATATTACTCTATACACTTCGCAAACGTCTGTCCGGTCGCATGCTCTCTGACGTATTCTGACGGTGCGACGGCTCCAGCGTAAGTACCAATGTCCAGCACCTCACAACCACACCTGCCTATCTCTTTCTCTCGCTCTTTTTCTCGACGTGTACTAAGGGATTCTTCGAGCCACAGCATCCCCTGATCTCATGGGAACCCTTTTGGTAGCCATGGCTCCAGAAGGACTGGACGTCTCCAACAAGAAGCTCCATCCATTATTCGTCCCAGGAAACAACACCCATGCCCCAAAATCCGATCCGGCCGCGAACGACCATCCTCAGGGCCCTGACGGGTTAAACCCGAGAACTGAGGAGACGCAATCATCACGGAAGAATGCGCGCACGTCGCAGCCCCCGTCAAGCGATGTTGAACCTTTCTCGTCCGACATTGGCGAGGATGAGCACGGCCGTAAAAGACAAAAGACAGCTGGTGGCAACCCTCCGAGCTCTGGGAAGAAGAGAGGACGGCCCAGGAAGAAGCAGCCCGGTCCAGCGATAGCGATAGCCAACAACTTCTCCCAGGTCAATGGTGTGCCATTGCCGCACCTTGTCAACGAACTTCCACAAACGCCTCTTACTACACCGTCGCCGACCCATCCGATTGTTCTGCCCCTGTCCCAGGCTTCTAGTTCAGTATCAAATGCCAACGGACATACCCATACAGCAGACACCTTGGCTCCGATTACTGGAAAGACCGACCCGCCAAAGCCCACGAAGGTTCTCAAGTTCAATCCCAAGACCGGTACTATTGGGTCACCGCCGAAACCGAAACCAAGCCACGCAGATACGGTCAAAGGCGCAAAGTCTAGCAAATCGCCTGCTAAGCAATCTCGCATTGTAACCGTTAAGTATGGGCACGATGCGGACTCGCGCGAGCGGATCGGTCCGAAGATCCAGCGGATCCTCGCCACGCCTCCCCATACCAAGACAAACCCGACGAAAACCACCCCTCCAAAATCTCGTACCATGACCCCCAAAGCGAACCAAGACAAATCAAAGACGAACACCACGCATCCCCTGTTTCTCGCAAAGCCCAAAAATGCCGTCAAGTCAGCAGAGACCCCTCCCGCTGCTCCGAAGCAACCCAGGGCTACCATTTTCTCTTCGACCCCATGCTCCCCCAAGAAGCAGCGATCGACTCCAGCGGCTGGCAAGGCTCAGTTTCCTCAATTTGGCGTTCGGTCCATGGGACTCAAGGTCCCAGGTGCATGTCACCCAGCATGGCCACCCCAGGGAACTGCCCACGTTAGGGGTTTGTCCCCTGACGAAGAACGCCTGCCAGCAAGGCATCAAGCCGGGTTTTCGTCAAGAAAGTCCAAGGGACAAACAATAAACATATTCCCGGGAGAGTCTGTCATAGATCAGCTCTCAGCGACATTAGACACCCTCAGCATTACAAAGACAATCCAGGAAGCCACTGACGACTATATATCACCTCCGCCCTCGGAGCTTCGTCTCCCGGAAAAGCACTTTGAAAGTGGGCGCAAACTCCGACAGAGAGTCAGGCCTGAGTTGCGTTCTCCCCTGCCACTCATCTCGAGCCAAGATAGCGATGATGAACTACTCACTGCGTCTACCCGCAAACCTCATCCCGCCGTCGCCCGCCTTTACAACTCCCTTGAAACCAATCTCTCAGCTTATGACAGGTCTGAATGTGAGGAACTTTCCTGGGCCCATAAATATGCGCCGAGCTGCGCAGAAGAGGTCCTCCAGAGCGGCCAGGAAGGTGTCTTGTTGAAAGAGTGGCTGCAGACCCTCAAGGTTCAGTCTGTTGATACTGGGGCACCCAATGCAGATCAGAAGCCTGGTTCCAAGCCTGCTTCTGCGACGAAGAAAAAGAGAAAGCGCAACAAGTTGGATGACTTTGTTGTCTCCAGTGGTGATGAAGTCGAGTTTTTGCCCGACGTTTCCGACGATGAGGATGATTGGCTCCCAACACCGCTTCACGGCAGCGCGAAGAAGACCGTGGTTCGTAAGGACATTGGCAAGGATGCAAGCCGGCTCACCAATGCAGTAGTTCTCAGTGGACCCCACGGCTGTGGAAAGACGGCTGCGGTGTATGCTGTTGCAAAGGAGCTTGGCTTCGAGATTTTCGAAATCAATGCAAGTAGCCGCCGCAATGGCAAGGATGTCATGGAGAAGGTTGGAGACATGACCCAGAATCACCTTGTCCAACAGCACCGCCAGAACGACGGCAGAGACAACGCCGACGACGAGACGGCAAACGACATCAAATCCGGCAAGCAGGGCACCATGGCATCATTCTTCAAGCCCAAGACGGCGGCCAAACCCAAAGTCACAGTCCAGCCTGAAGCCATTGAGCAGCCGACGTTGGCAGCCAAATCCGCAAAGGCAAAGGCGCAAACTCAGAAACAGTCTTTGATTCTCCTTGAAGAAGTCGACGTGCTTTACGATGAAGACAAGCAGTTTTGGGCGACCATTGTAAGCTTAATTGCCCAATCCAAGAGGCCGTTTGTTATGACTTGCAACGACGAGACCCTGGTGCCGTTCCACAATTTTGTCTTCTACGGAATCCTCCGATTTAGACCACCACCGGAAGTTTTGGCAGTCGATGCTATGCTCCTCATTGCTGCCAATGAAGGTCATGCTCTTCGTAGGGCGGCTGTAAGCGCGCTGTATGAATCCAAGGGTTACGACCTCCGAGCATCTTTGATGGAACTCAACTACTGGTGTCAGCTTGGAGTCGGTGACCGCCGCGGCGGCTTTGACTGGTTCTACCCGAGATGGCCAAAGGGCTGCGACACAGACGAGAACGGTGATGTTGTGCGTGTAGTCAGCCAAGGCACGTATTTGGAGGGTATGGGATGGGTCAGCCGTGATCCAGCAATCGTCTCAAGCCCCCACGCTGCCGAGGAAGAGTTGATGAACCAATGCTGGCAGAGTCTAGGGGTGGATTTGGGCAACTGGCACGAGTCCCTTGACATGGTATCATGGGCAGACAATGTGACCACATCCTCGGCCGGGGACAGAGCCGCTGCGCTGGATGTGTTTTTCGAGTTTTCCGATCTCATGAGCGCAGCCGATCTCTGCTCCGGCGGTGACTTTGGCCTTCGATTCCAGGTGAGTTGGTCGGTAGCTATTCGATGGCAGTGATGCAACTAACTTGGCCTAGGAACCGCTTGATCCTACGCAACCAGACATCCCCGTCAAAGCACGCGATGACTTCACCCTTGGGCGCCGTTTACTAGAGGCTCCGCCCCTCACGACTTACACCTGCACGGCCAGAGCCATCGCTACCAGTCTGAAGTGCGGAGCTCGACAGGTTCTTCAGACCGCGCCTGTCAAGAATGATACTTCAGTCAGTATGGATTTCTTCCAAGAAGACAGTGCTATCCGCCGAATGAGACACTCATTTGTCAATCCTACCCGGGACGCGGTCATCAACCGCTATGACATGGCATACGCTTTTGACCCGATCGCGGTTTCTGACAAGGCTTCTGCTACGATATCCACCAGCCTCGAACCATCAGTATTTGATCGTACTATGCGGTTGATTACTCTCGAAGTGGCGCCCTATGTCCGAGGGATTATTGGTTACGACCATCGTCTGATGCAGGACCGCATGCAACGAAGTGGCCTACTGAGCGAAGGTGGTAGGCCAGGTAAGCGAATGCGAAACACTCGTGCTGCATACTCGGCTCTGGAAGGTGTCGCGCGCGTCAATATGCGTAAAGAAAACTATTTTTCTGCGGAGCTGAGCGCGCCGTTAGTGATGAGAACCGGCGGCGAAAGCTGGCAAGCGGCCGTGGACGAAGAAATGAGCCTAATGAACCCAGTGTCGAGTCCTGTGAACGCGAATGATGTGGGCGCCAACGAAGATAGCGAAGCGATAACAACGCCAGTCACGGTGGCGGAGTAGATGATGATAGCAACGAAATGGCTGCATTCGGGAGAAGTTGGAAAAGCGTAGTTAGCTGGGGGGGGTGGGGGGAGATATGGGATGGCATTTGAACTGGCTGGCTATCTATCTGCCTTGAACAAGACGGCTATGTGCATACTCGAAACACGCTGAATCGCAAATTGCTGCATATCGTAAATCGACTGTACTCCCATTCCTTTCTAGTGGTAGACGGGTCTTCGCCGGGACCTCCGGTCGGCATAATCCGACTCGCCCTTGTAGCTCCGCTCGTCGGACGGCGACGGCGGCAGCTGACTTCCCCGCCGGCTCCAGTCCGCAACGGCTTCATTATATTGTGGCCGTTGCGGCCGCTCTTCCTCACACGACATGTTTGACTGCCTCTCATACCGGACGATCTCGTTGTCATCCAGCGCACCGATCCCGCGGGATTTAGACCGGAGGTCCTCATCTATCGCACCCCGCCGGTTTGAAAAGCGTTCACTAGGAGAAGGCAGGTATTCGTCAGATTGGTACGAGTCCCCATCACTGTCGCTACCATAGCCCCTTGACCGCCTGTCGCTGCGGCTGGGGGCTGGATATTGCTCCCTCTCGCGCAGCCTCCTCCTCCTCCTGTCGTTGCGCACGTAGTCGTTGCGGTCGAAGACATTGTGGTCGTCGTAGTCAAGATATCCGTTGTGGCGGTCGCGGATGGCGTTACGGCGGCGCGAGAGGCGACCGGACGACGACGCGGGAGACGGCTCCCAATGGTCCTTGTGGGAGTTGCGCGGCCAGAGCTTGTGGAGGCAGATGGTGGCGACGGCGACGGCGGCGACGAAGACTGCGGCGGTCTTGATGCTAGGCCGGCGGTGCTCGCGGGGCCCAGCAGAGGAGGAGCGGGAGCGGGTGGATGGAGAGTGGGAGCGCCGCGTCCGGGTCATAGTTGTGTCTCCTCGGGTCCTGGTGAGGACACCACTCTTGGTATCGCGGCTGGAGCGAGACATGCGAGACATGGAGAGTGGTGAGTTGGCGAGTGTAAACTGTCGTGAGGTTTCTCGAGTGGTTGACAAAGTCAGTGAGTCCGTCCGGTTTAAAAATGAGAACAGCCAGCTGGTATTCGTCCTAAGGGCTCACGCGGCGGTCCGACGGCAAAAGACAAAGAAGGGAAATGAAGTCGGCTTCGGACGGGAGCTTGGAGAGGGGTCCGGGGAGGCGTCACGTAGAAATGGAAACTAGTGAGCGGTGTTAATGAAATGATGGAGGCCGTGGGTAAGGCTGGGCAATTCAGGGAGGGAGCGAAACCTTAAACCGGCTCGTTGGACATCCTCCCCCGGTATCAAAGCTGGAACATTGAAGGGGAGGGTCGTCCGAGCGGGGGTCAATCCGATATGCCGACTTTGGTGTTTGGCTCTGTTTTAGGGACACGCAGGAGATGAAGAGTGCAGCCTCTGCTATGGCATGATGCTGAACGTCAGTAATAGCGGCTGTGCAACAGAACCGCGCGACAGAGGACGGTATGAGAAGAGAAGTGAAGTCCGGTCTACGCCTGGCTTATGCCATGCTGTCAACCCAGGAACCGGTTTTTCAACCAGACGGTCTGAGAGTCGCCGAAGGGAAGCAGAGCTAGAACCCAGGTCCAAGGGTCCTTGCATGACAGGTGATATAACATCAAAGGGTTCCGTCGAGCCTACTACACCGCGTGGCCTTTCCTACGCTGTGTTGCGTCAAAGTCACCATCGCCGGTCACATCTCCCGAGCTTATGGGGAAACCAACCCGATACCGATTGGAAGGAGGCATGATGCACTGGTGCTGTTGTAATGCCACTTGGACAGCTGTGCGTGCAGATAGGCAACGAAGGGCGACACAAGCTCTCCCGGGCACGGATTCTATCCCCGGAACTCCGATATGTAGGTGTATCGAAGGACACGCGCCGTTGGGAATCCCAACCCAGAGGGTCATGCTTGACTCTCTTTGCTTTCATTACTGGGCATATAATAATCCATTGCCCCCTCCCATCTACCCTAAAGTATGATTCCGCTGGCAACAGATGGCGGGGAAGCGCATTTTAGTTTTGCCCTCCATCATGCCCACAATTGAGTTGGCCTCGGACAAAGGAGCCGCATCTTCGTTTCGAAGGTGGCAACCAGGGGAGTTGATGCACATCTGTGTTGCGGCAGTGGTCGGCGACCGGTGGAGCTTAATTTAGATTCCGAGGAGAGAGACGGTAAGATGACTGGAGGATGTCGGAGTGTTGGACGTCAAGAGCAAGACGTAGCAAGAGGGGACTGGAACGGTGAGAGGCGTGAGCGGTCGATGCGGTCCAACTACCGTTGTGGCATGGTGATTGGCCAAGATACTGTGTCGTGATCCCGTTAGCTGTAACAACGCGTCGTTGTGGTTTGAAGCGGCGCTTGCTGTCGTGGAAGAAGTCCCGGGGGCTGAGAATTGCGATTGCATGTGAGCAAAGTCATGTAAGTGCAAGACGTCAGCAAGCATTTGTACACGAGTTGTTCCGGTTACATCTGTGCCACAAGTTTGGAACTACAAACGCGGGCAATTTTTCGTTTCTATTATTCCGTCTTATACCTTCTTGCTAGGCAGCTCTTCGTAGTCGTCTCCAGAGAGTTTCAGGGCCGTTAAGTTTTGCGATATCATTCGCATCTTGAAATCGGTTGCCTGGGACCAGAAATATCAAGTCTTGTAGTTGAAATTAGTGAGATGTTGTGAATGGGATAAGGAATTGACAGCTTACCGATTTAGACGCGAGAAGATAATTCAATCGGTTGAGCAAAGAAGTCTCCTGTTCCACGATGGTGATCTTGGAGCTTCCAAAGCCCTCTAATGACTTGAAAACTTGATGTTTTACTCCAGGGGGCATGCCCAATGTGACACAGCCAGGAGGATTTTTCTGGATATGTGTGGTATGCGATAGAAGCAATCAGTGCAATAATGTGTCTTAGAAGACAGATCGGAGGGTATTATGTGAAGTGAGGGAGTGAATGAAGCGTCGAGGTGAAGAATAGGTGGCAAGACAATCACAGCAACAAGCACTTGGTATGAAAGCGCTACCAGCCTTGGTTGATAGGGAGGTTTACTTACGATATTTCATGGTGCTGAGTTTCCATCCATTGATTTAGAAGCCTTCTTTATTGTGTTGAGTATTGGGCATGATGCTTCCACTGTTTCTATGACTGTGTATGGTTGATATTGTGTGCCTGTAGGATCCTAGGGGGGACCGCATTGTTTTGGTACCCTAATTACTAGGGCTGGTAACAGCCGCAACAAGGCTTATATGCCATTGGTCTCAATTTGAAGTCAACTGTGCTTGGATTGTTGAATACCGAAGGCATACTTGTCTTTGACACCATGATGATCTCGAAAGGATAGCTCCATGGCACTCAAAGAGCTCGGTATTTCCTATAGATCAAGCCGCATCAACAACAAAGGGTGGTATCCAGAATGGAAAAGAACATTGCAGGCGTTTGAGGACAATGAGAGAACACGGAGATGCTTGAGAACCAAGCCATGGAGAGCTTATATCAATGGGTCAAAATGTCTAGATTAGAGAACCAGCCAGCTAACCAGATCAGTTGTCACCGGTCAGTTTGAATCCAAGGTCGATATCAATACCATACATTCATGACGCCGTTCACAAGTACACAGGACCAAATCAGCCGCAAGGGCATCTTTCACACCATCAAGACCTATGTCGGGGGTGAGAGGTGCCTTTCGGAGTTATACGATAGCTACAGATACGTCCCAGCGGACGATATCGATGCGTCGTGTACCAGAAATGCCACCATCGTCAGACTTGTATGCCTCAACTTCTCCCAGACGAGAAAGCTGAAGAAATTTGCAGCAGATGAGATCTGGCTGTCTAGGGAGGCTTGTTGCGTAAGTTCAACTCCTTTCCGTCTGCCCAGTTTGGGACATCAAGCCTAAGACCGGCGAGTGTTTCACAAGACGCTCTCAGCTGACCAACATGATTAGCGAACCATCGTGAGATGTTTTGACTACCTCCCAGCCATCAACGCCATCGTCACCGAGCAACGCCCCCGAGACGGCGCGATCCACCCGGCACGAGACCGCTTCGAGGATTCGGCTATCCTCGACATCGCCTGGGACATGCTCCTCGCTCTCGCCTACCTTCATGCCCGCGGCATCGCCCACGGAGATGTCCGGCCGCGGAACGTTATCCCATTCCCCTCGTACCCCCGTCGCGACCGCCACAAGCTCTTCGGCCACGGCCTCGTGCCGGACGTCATCGGCTACTGGCCCAAGGACGACGGCTACACGGCTCCCGAGTTCCTCGTCGAGAACGCCGAGACGCGCAAAAAGGGGAAGGGGGGCAGGGGAGCGGTGAAGGCGACCTTTGCGTCGGACATCTGGCAGCTCGGCATGCTTCTCTGGCACTGCCACCGCTACGGCTCCCACTGGGACTCCGAGACGCTCCCGTCGCGGAGGAACAGCTGGCAGTCCGAGATCCTCGTCCAGCCCGACCTCGCGCCGACGTCCGGAGCTTCCATGAAGGGGATCAGGCCGCTGGCGTTCAGAGCCAAGGGCTGCGAGGACCCAAGCCACACCTGGTTGCAGCAGTTGTTGAGCAGCATGCTCGACGAGGACCCCCTCGCGCGATCGAGTGCGATGGAGCTGCTTCGGCAGATGCAGAGCCAGAGGTACCACGCTGTCGAGAGGAAGGAGTTGGAGGAGGATGTGGAGGATATGAAAGACGCCGTGGAGACTGCGAAAAAAGAGATATGGGAGAGAAGTCCCCTCGGGAAGGTGGCGCTGGGGGTGAGGCGGGCGCGGGTAGAGTTCGTCAGGTTCATCTTCCTCATTGCTCTCTTGCTTCATTTGGTGTAGTTTTCCCTTTGTTGCTCATGGTTGCTGAACGGGGCTGGGGAGGGTTTCTCCAGATTTGAATCCATGGGCTTGGTTTTCATCTAGACGGGTTATTGATGGACGTGGTTGATTGAGGTACAAAGGAAGCCTTTGTAACCTCGTAGATTTCACTTACAAGCGG